CTATAGGTATATAGTCTAATTTAAATCTATTAAATATTCAATTCATCTATATAAGAAGGCAACGTATAATTTATAATCTCCCCAACATTCTTTTTAACACACTGACAATATATCGAATGAGGAAGAGAATAATAAAGTATTTTCTACAAGGTCTGGAACTAAAAGACTAAATGAATCTACCTAGTGGAAGATAACATAAATCTACGTTTACATATACGTTTGGAATGTAAAACGGTTTGATTGATGAACAAAATGAAAATATATCAGAAGTCATACTTCACATGCTATATCAGACTACCCAAACATTTAAAAGAAATGTATCAGACATGTAATATTATGGGTTAGATAAAGATACATTCTGGAAAAATGCTAATTTTGTGCCAATGATTTACCGTTATTCTCTGACAATATTCCTGATCATCATAGGGTCATATCCATCATTTTGCTTTGATATTTTGTATTGACTAATGCCAATGGAATATTAACAGAGAAGAGGTTAACATTATAACAGATCACGTAAGTTCATCTCGATTCAGACTAACATTTTCAAGCGAGCAGCAAGTGTTCATACTAATGCAGCATGTGTACCTTTAATGTACACTAATGAAACCCAAAGCAACAAACGCAATATGCGCATAGAGCTCCACACGACATGTATTCCGCACAGGAGATGATGCTATCCACACCAACCATACTCCGTGGTCGCCATCATCACCGCGTGACTCTACATGAGCGAATAGGAGATGGAGCACTTAAACACAGCATGTATGCGTATACACACCCCACCCTAATTCTCACTGGGGCTATAGCAGGGATGTGAATTGCTTTTACCAATCATGATTGGAAGGGTAATAATGAGTACCCTTATGGGGAGGGGTGGGGTGTGACGGGGTGGGATGAGGTGTAATGGGGAGGGGTAGGTCGCCATCATCACGACGTGACTCGGCATTATCATGAGTAGATAGGAAATGAAGCACTAACACAGCATGTATGCGTACACACACCCCACCCTAATTCTCACTGTGACCAGCAGGGAAGTGCATTGCTTTGACCAATTATGATTGGAAGGGTAATAAAGAGTACCCCCGTTAAGAGGGGTGGGGTGCAATTTGTTAGGGGTGGGGTGGAGTTGAAGGTTGTGTAGATGATTGTGATCAAGACCTCATCAAAACATCTTAATCATGAAGACAGCCTTGCTACAAGATAGCTACGTCCATGCCAAACGACACTAGGCGAGGAAAAGTCTTGTATGTACATAGCTGTGATAATATTGGCCAGATGTTGTAGACACACTCGAATGCATACTGCATAGGGTGTATATTTGCCAATAAAAAGAAAACCTCGATTATATCTTTAGATTTTAGTCGACACTCAAGATTTGGGTATTAAACAATTATAAGCTTGTTGATAAAAAAAGTGAAAATAAGTGTACATCCACAGTATATAAATAATTAGTTGTTTATGCTCAGTTGATGTCTCGAAAAGAATAGAAAATCTTCTAATGCATTGTGTGTCTGATTGCTTTACGGAAAAGCTATTAATATTTGAGACTATATTGAAATGAAAATCACTGAGTAGTGGCCAAGCAGAGCTACCCTTGGAGTATACTCTTACCAGGGACACTCGGGTCTCCCTGCTCTTACCGTCTAAATAAGAAGCTCATTGGCTGTTAACCGGCGCCAAAATCTATTGCGATCGATAAACTAGCTCACTCACAACTCATTGCATGTACATGGGCTACTGCACTATCAACCAAAGCCGCAAATTTAATATCCCCGACCTCTAAATGAAATTAATAAACCAGAAGGATACGGTCTCCTGAGTTTACCAGCTCCCAAAGGGCATTCTTGTTGATAAGTTTGTTTGCATTTTCCTGGCATTCCAGATATTAGATGTAAATAATGAAATTCCTTTCGTAATTGTAACACGCCCGCACGCTGATTGTCTTTACTTGTTACCATGCAAATTGTTGCCCATTTTCGTAGGATGTAAATAGTAGATTCCACTTTATATTGAAACAAATAAAACCGAAAACAAAACGTGTCATGACGCAATATTCTGATTGAGCACTGAAGGATTTCATGCGGCAAATCGAAAATAATAGTGACGTCATTATTGACTAAATCTCATTGTTCCATTACTGAATTCCTCTTTACACGTGTGATAACAAGCCCAAAATAAAAAGATTTGCAAAAATAATTTTGTATGTTTAACGGTTGTATTTGATTTATTTCACTTTACCATACAATATCTGTAACTATAATTTCAAAAAATATGCTAACATCTTGGAAAATAAACCAAACTGTATCCTTCATGTTTAATAATTGTAAACAAAAATAAAAAAAGTCCCATATAGGTAAACAAATCGAGATACATTCACGGGTTTATATAGCCACACCTTCTTTGCAATATCCAGTTAAGAGATTATCAAGATTTAAACTTTTATCAATCATGTTATTAAATGCTTGTTATCAAAAGGAGTAGTACAAATCCGAAACAAATATATCCTTTTAAAGAAACCTAATCTCTGCCCAAATGGCATTACATTCGCATAATATGCACATATTGAGTCACATTGCAGTGATGTGATATCCTGCATTTAATAACATGACTGATGAAAGCTTACATCTCGATAAGTTACATGCCCTGAACAACAAGAATAGATATGAGGGATTACTTCCCATCGGTTCAATTATCACTCCTAGATCTAGCTAAATCTACTGCGAATATCCCCTTTCCTGCTAGCTATGAATCCAGAGATTTCTGTATTAGGTATGGCAATGCCTTGATGGTATTTGTTTCATGTTTAACGTATATAGCTAAATGACTAATATAATTTCTCTTACGGATCAAAATTTGCTGAATGTTGATTATGTTCTAATAAAACAAGGTGAAGTAGATACCGCAAGAACTTATACGTAGACAATGTGACCTTCTTGTTAAAAAAAAAATATTTACATGTTTAAGTTAATATTTACTTCGTCAAGGAAATGTTTGCACATGACTGTGGCATCCTTGTTACGTTGTGCAGAGCATTGGCAAATAATTGTCCTTGAAATCTATCACGTTTTGAGATAAAAAAATCCTTAAAAATGAAACTTGGACGGTTGTCAAATCCAAAGATGACATAAAAAAAGCAATAAAATACCTGATAATGATTTACATATTTTTTCATATTTTAACACTGTACGCTTGAATGCTAACCACAACAACAATGACCAAAACGGACTATTAGTAAGTGTATTTTTCATTGATAATTTCAGTGTTATTGAACAATCGTCGTAACGAAATACTTTGTCATCAAAGTCACGTCGTTCTTTAGAGCATGCACAACGAAAAAAAAACAACGTCTCTGTGTTGGAAAGGCTTGTATATTGGGTATGACTACTGGCTTATCAAGTAATGAATACCTTCCTGTCATTCATAAATATAATCTCCGCAAGCCTGAAGGAGATAACATTTCTGTAAACAAACACAAAATGACGAATGTTTGTCGATGATGAGATCATCTGTGAACAAGAAGTGTATAATACACAGAACTCATTTTAATAATTCATTCTTTTGACCGTGTTGAATCAACAAAGCGTCTAGTCATATTGTATTGACTTTGCCACTGACGATCAAGGCGTGTCCACACTAGCGCTTTCTTTGTTTGCGTAAAAGGGAGCATGGTTGTGTGCACAGCCCCAGTTTCTGTGCACCAGGAAATATTGCTGTGTGAAAAGCACACATGTCAGATGAACAGAAAAAGGAACCTCTGAATTGTGAAACAGACGTTTGACCATCACAAGAACAGTGTGAAGCGGCCTATACAAGGACGATATTCTGTTCGTGTCCGTATATTATTAGGAATTGCATACAAAGGGACCAATATGCAAATGGATTTTTTGCAATGCCGTCGAACCAAGGACATATTAGTCACAAGATTCGTCATTTTGGACAGGAAAGGTGGAGTTGACTACATTCCACAATAATTTTTTCCGTTATCGCTTTCCCGAAAACTAAAACGTATAGACCTAATAATATGCGAGCATGAAAGTATAATTAAGACGTTTGATCATTATAAGCGATAATAAATGGCCTTTTAAAACGACGTTATTAAATCGGGCTCTTTACATAGAATTTCCAGAATAACGATTCAAGAATTCAGAAAGGCTGACATTTATAGGCCTTCTAATTTTCAAAGCATGATATTTCGTTATGGTGGAATCTCTGGAAACGATTCTTCAATCAATTAATCCTATCCAACAGCTGCGGTTAACCTCAGCAAACCAGAACTATATGATAATATTCCCTCAATTCCCTAAATTACAATTATCATTACATTTTGGGGATGTATAATTATTAACACTGAATTTATACAATGTGAAATATTTCCTTACGTTGCTTTGATGTATCACTTTTAAATTCTAAATATAAACTAGTCCCTATGTTAAACTTTATTAAAGTGTTGTCAAGGTGTTTCATGACAAATTAGACTTCTCATCACTACGAGAAATGATGTCTACATTAAATTGTATCAAGCAAAGTATTCCTACCAAAAATGTGATTCAGATAAAACATAATTGTATTTTATGAATACGTACAATAAAATTAAAAATAAACAGCGAATTTGAATGCGTAAATACGATTATTACAGCATGGTAGAAGTTCAGACAAAACATCTTTTCTCTCCAAAGAACACAAATTGCAATAATATGAATAATTTGATAAAAGCTTTACAAAAAAAATATATCTGCCAACAAAAATATAGTGCAACGAATATCGTACGTATTTGTTAAATACATTATCTACTCTATGTTTATACTCAACATACTTGCGAAGTTGCGACCAAGAACAATACATGTATATTAAGCACCTATATTGAAAACGGATGGTTTCGTTTTGACATAAATCATTTTAACTAGTCCATAAGCTTATTTTTGACAATTATTGTCCTCACTTTTTGGTATTTGCTTCATAGAACGTATCCATGATAGTATATTGTAGCAATAATTAACATTACGTTAAACGTTACTAAAATCCTTGATTTTTTGTTGATTTTTTTCTTTTCTACAAAGACTTATACTTCGATATTGAATTCATGTCACAAGAAGGTGATATTTTGTGCAGTTTTCCACAACTGTTCTTATAAAATTTCTCGATTTCGCTTTTATACCTCTCAGTGGTTGTTCATGTAAATGACCTCAAAATTTGGATTAAAATGGCAGTAATTTCAGCTGTTTTCAGGTGTGATTTAGGATCCAACTTTATGTTCGTTTCAAATTAGTAGCACTAAATACAAGCTTAGCGACAATAGAGGAGGTTTTCTTACGAAACCAATTTTAAAATTTGTATTACATTAATGTGCTTCAATGAGAACTGTTTGCATGAGCATGGTTACACCCAGCTTGAATATCTAAACATGTTTACACAGTGAGTACCGAGGTTGGTGATTACCAGCTCTCCGCTAGATGACATAGCCATACCCAGAGGCCCACTGAGGCCATCTGACTCATTCAATAGATGGCGGATGAACATCCCTTCAGGAGAGAACAACTGTAGCCTATCGGCACAATCAGCTACCAGGATGTTACCTTCCTGGTCGGTGCAGACACCGGTCGGACCGATGAACTGACCGTTGCCAGAGCCACAGGACCCAAAGGTGTGAAGATGAGTGCCTTTGAAGTCGAAGATCTTGATGCAATGGTTGCAGTGGTCGGAGACGATGATGCGGTTGTTGCTGATGGTGACGTAGCGAGGTTCATTGAACTGGTTGTCGGCGTCACCACGAGAACCAAAAGAGCTGATGAGATTACCGTCAGGATCGTGGATGGTGATGCGATGTTTCCCGATGTCAGTGACCACCACGCGTCCATCCTTGGCGAGAGCTATTCCATATGGCTGCTTGAAGAGACCGTTGTCGCCGAAGTGGAGAATGTATTGACCATACAAAGTTAGCTTCTGGACACGGTGGTTGTATTCATCAGTGACATACACACACGGGTCGTCACCTCCTGTAATGGCAACGTCCAGGGGAAGCTCAAACTGACATGGCTGGCGCCCTCTAGAGCCGAACTTACATTCGAATCTTCCCTTGCGATTGTAGACCTGGATACGGTCATTGTCGCGATCCACTATGGCCGTGTACTCTCCATCAGCAGTAGAAGCAACACCACTTGGCCAATCAAACTCACCAGCTTCATCTGTTTCATCCTTCAGGTGGAACAATATCTGAGGCTTCTTTAGCACGGACTCTTTGGCTGTTCTTTTAGGTGATTTAGGAGCACATTCAGATAGAGAGCTGTCGTCCAGCTCATTTGAATCAATAGAGCATATTGATCTGGTGTCGGTGGCCTGGGAAAGTTCACTGAAAGTTTTGTCTCCACATTTGATTTCACCTAGCTGGGGGAGGGAGTGGTCAACGGCACTTTCCTTAGCCTCGAAGTACAGGTTACTCAACTGCTCCATTGTAAAGTCTTGTTGAGGAGAGACCACGGCTAGCCCTTGTAACCTCTCGATCACCTGGTCCTTGATGGACAGAATGTCCAACTCTGATCCATGTCCAAGAGCCTTCTCGGTGAAATCAAACCCGCTGAGAAGGTTATCTAGTCCAGATTGTAAACTCCTACGGTGTGCTGTTAGCTGCTGCTTACTACCCTGGCAAATCCTTGCTAACCGGTGTCCCAGCTCCTGCTGTTGCTTACGTAACAGCGACATGACATCCTGGAGTGTCCTCTCTATGACATACTCGGCCTGACCACGATTCGCCTCTAGTTGAGCCTCTACCTCGTCCACTCCGCGAAGAGCCTCCTCGAACGTCGCGATCCGATCTCGAACATTCTTCATGAGACCGTCGATGGTGTTTTTATGACGGGTCACCTCATCTTGAAGGAAGGTATGAGAATGATCCTTATGTTCGATCAGTATACATTCCCGACAGATTGGAACCGTGCACGATTCACAGTAGAAACGGACCGCCTCGGATTGATGCTTGGAGCAGACGATCTCGCGTTTGAGTAACTTCTTATTCTCAGAAGCGGGAACGGATATTATGTGATGTTTGCGAGTGAAACGGGCGATTCGGTGGTCATGAGATGGTGCACATTCATCACATAAAAAGTCGACACATTCCAAGCATCTATAGTGGGCTTCAGCCGGCTGCTGACCAACGCATATGGTACACACAGCTTTCCTCCTCGGCCCCTCATCCTTGCGCGGTGTGAACACATCCGATAGATTCAGTATGAAGAAGTTATCAGCAAGCCCGGAGACGCCATTTTCAGGGAGTTCCGATTCTTGCCGGCATAGTGGACATCTAATAGTATGGCTTCCATCTGGCGCGTATCTCAGTAAACAGGCTTCACAAAAGCTATGAAGACAGGGTAAGACTTTGGGTTTGCTAAATCGCTCGAAACAAACTTGACAAAGAAGGAATTCTTCACTGATTTGACTAAGGACAGAGAGCTGTGAAAGTGATGCCGCCATTTTAGTATCGTACGTTAATCATTATGCGGTCATGCAGTATTGAAGTGATGCTCGCCTCTGTCTCTCTCGTTCAACCGGTTTGTGCTGATAGCTAAAAGTCGTCTGCTAGCTACGTCAGTGCATTCATTAACATCGCGGTTTGCAGACGACACGATACTCAGCGCCTGAATATCGTTCGCGGAAATGACCTCAATGCATCGAATTATCCCTCCCAATCGCCACGCCCCTTTCATGGAAAAAATGCCATGGTGGCGCTATGCAAGATAGCAGAATGTAAATAATAGCTTGAAGCTTGTGAGGTTACCATGGAATAGTGCGGTGAACCTATCTAACAGTCTCTCGACTATTGATGTTGGGGACATTAAATGAATAGATATACAAAATATCACATGACTTTATTTACCTACATGAAACACGATCGCATAGACTTTCAAGAAATTTACCATTTCAACCACACATTTTCTTGCCTGTTGAAAACCAGTTCGGATTTTTGCAATATCAGGCATATTGAAATGTTCACACATGCAATTATTGACGTATGCCTACATAGCTTTTAAAGCTGCCTTGTGTTTACTTTTTTAGCCTTAAATATGACACATAGTCATGATTGGAAAGAGCAAAAATTTCATGTACACTCTGCATCCACTTTTTTTGGATGAGTAGATTGCGGCTAATGCCAGGAATTAAAAAAAAGGAAAATTATCTTTAATATTTTTTAAGGTGGCAACATGTTGAGAGGTTCAAAATCATTACATTCGATCAAAATTGTCAATTTTTAAAACCATTTACAAAGTTTACACACATACTGTTTTGGAGTCAATACATTTTATTAGAACAATATAGCAATAAAAGGAGAATATTAATGTTCCCAATCTAAAGAACAACATGTGATCAATACACCATGTACTCAGTGGAATGAATAATTTTGTCCTCTTCCCATTTTCCTATAAGGTCAGTTGGTAAGTCGATTGGTGAGTCGATCGGTGAGTCTTCATTGGATAATTCCCTGACCCTGAACTTTGAACACATGATCGTGTGTCCACAGACTGTAAAGTAAATATTGCCATGACTCATTGTCATTCGGTCCAGACAATGTCATGATCATGACGTACAGTATATAGCAAAACCTGGACTTTAGACAGTGGAGGGATCGGGCAAGGACTTCTCAAGGTTCAATTGTAATCATTCTCTTAATTTATAATTTATGCGTGCATGGTATTAAAATTAGCACTCAAAATGCGAGGATAAATATACATAGAACGACTGTGGTCTAGACAACAAGCTCATAGATAATTAACCTTCGGACAGCTACCTCCGGACAAGTTTACCCCAAAACTTAAAAGAAAAATACTCCTGTGTTATTTCCCCCTATACGAAAGCCACTAGATTTAAACCCGGACATAATTATACCCCAAGAAAGATTTTCTCCGGGACAACCACTACGGAATCATTACCCCATGTGACATTATCTTTAAACAACGGTGCTGCTGAATATCCTACTTCATAATTTATATAGATATAAGATGGTAATATTTTGGGATTGAATGCTGGCATGACATGACTTGCTTATCAATATCCGATTCGAAATAATACTCCTATCTTGTACTGAGCCCCACCCCGCACTGTACCGTGAAGGACTGCCTACGATTGAACGAATCATTATTCCACCTCCAAATTATTTAAAAATAAAGTGCCTTAACTTGTAAAACCTTGTTTAAAAAAAAGCATATTCCCTAATTGCTATACAGTTCAAGAGCTCTTTGTTGTGTCTCCATTAAAAGGCTGTAATTCGCCCTTTTTTGTGTTCTCTTCCCAGCTTAAAAATGACTTTCATTATTGTTGTCGGCGTTGTCATAATGACATATGGCAATATTCTCAATATGTATTTCCTTAAGTGCAGCTGTCAATATTTAACATTGAAATCCCATTTAACCCTATGTAGTGTTGAACAATTTTCATGCCATTTTCAGGGTTTGTCGCCCTCACATAACTTCAGTGCGTACACCATCCACAATCATACCAGACTGTCACAGCGAAGCTGTTCAAGATTGAGAAGTAGTTACAAATATTTTCAAAAGATGTTATCATTGTCATAACGAATAATGATAATCTTCATATCAAGTCTGATATCAAAGTTAAAACATTTTTACTGGTATTGATTTCCTTATAAGCCTAACATTGACCCCCCCCCCCCCAAAAAAAAATATATATATATATCATCCGAGCAGCAGAGATTGGCCCAATTAAGAGTCTTCTAATAGGGCTTCCAGCTGCCAAAAAGTTATCTGTTGATACTTGAAGGGTTTGAATATAAAAAGGGGTGTACGAGAGCCCCATCCCGCTCTGTACCGTGATGGACATCTGTTTCTTTCCTAATATGTAAGTTTTACGTTCAACTTAATCAAAATGTCTGAAAATAACTGTCGTTGTTTGGTATTATCGGCGTTTCATTCTTTTTCAGAATATTTACGCCTTACACTTTTTTTTATAATTACTTGTAAATTCGAACTCGTACGGTGCGCAATCTTCTTGGCCATCATTGGCCTAGGCAACTATGGTACCGGTGAGAGGCCTAGGCAACTCTGGTGCCAATCACTATACACCACGTTCACTTACATGGAACTTTCAACCAATCATGTTCAAGTTACGTAAACTACCGTGGGACTACAGCGCGGCGGTGTTTCCCCGACCAAGAAAGAGGGCCTACGAATGCGCAATCTTACCCGTTTTTGTTTTGAATCTAAATCCTATATTAAAACTGAAGAAAAAATTTAGAAAAAAAGAAGAAAACGGTGGGTTTATAATTATGAAAATTGTTAGCTATACTATGGGGGGAATATTAATTTTAGATCTCTCTTGGAAGTCCAAATGTGTACCTTTCAGATAGTTATTTGTGGTCGTATTTGTGGTATATCTCTTTCCTCTCTCTCTCTCTCTCTTCCCTCTCTCTGTCTGTCTCTTTCTCTTCCCTCTCTCTCTTTTCTCTCCTCTTCTCTCTGTCTCTTTTCTCTTCTCTTCTCTCTCTGTGTGTAAGCTACAAGTATTTGATGATAAGAAATAACATTTAGAATATGCATAAGGTAAGAAACTTGAGCTCAAAAATATCAATTCCAGCTCCCCTCTTTTCCGAGAGCTTATTAGAAAGAAATTCAAGTATATGGAATTATCCTAACAATTGTTAAATGTGCTGAAATTGTTGATTAAAAAAAAACTAGAATATATCTGACAGACGAACCATTAAATTATTTAAATAAAAGTCTGTTTATTTTTAATCGTCAAAGTTCATTGATGTTGATTTTATTTTTGGTGTGTGTTAAAGCTTTTAGGCGTTTTGGCCTATACAATAACATACAAAACTATTAGTCTATTTGTAGTTGTTTAGTTCATATTGATTGAATGAAAATGCATGAAATTCTTTTTTAGTTTGTAATGTTAAGCAGTTTTCAGGTGTTTTACTCTCATTTTTTTCATTTAACATTATTTTCACACTAATGTTAATTCAACAATTCAAAACCATGGTTCAAACAATGTTCGTCCTACTTTGTAAGAATTATTCCATTTTCAACTGTTTTCATGCTGTGGGTGTTTGAAAAGAAAATCACCTATCAGAGAAGTGGATATACCAACAGTATTTCATGCCGATTCAAAGGTTTCCATGCCAATGTAGATTACACACCTCAATCCGGGGTATGATGGGTGGGGAGGGGGCAGGAAGTGTCACACCCTAAACAGCCCCTCCCCCTCCTCATAATGTCCCAATCATGAAAGCTCACACTCACACTGTTTGAATATAGAACAAATACAAAGACACCAACTTCAGAAATAACTCCGAGATAAAGCAAGCACTTGTTGTAATTTTGTTAAATATAAAAGTTTTTATTTTCTTCACTTCCCATCACATAATTGCAGTTTATATTTTGAGATGTTCACACATTTACACCATTACACCATGAACCATTCATTATGGTCCTCACACGATACATCAAATTTCAGATAATTATCTCGACAAAATTTGCCTATGAGTTTTCAGAGTTTCTTTAAATCTGCTGAAAAATCGCAAATGGATCAAATAAGGAGTGAGTGAAAAATCAACAATGCAGAATCAAATTCGTCACAGGCTAAGTGTTGCGCTAAAAAGAAACTTTTCAGATTCAGTCGTATAAATGCACCTCTCTTATTTACATAGTACCTTTCTTAACATAATGAACAAGAACATACACAAAACATGGGTAAATAATATTTAATGGTACCCATAGAGCATCCTATCAAAATAAAGATGAAGAAGATGGCTGAACAAAATGTAACAGCATGTACATGTACAACTGTGGCCTCAAAAAAAGTAACTTATCTGAAGTATTAACATGTTTTTCCCCCTATCTAACATCTTTCCAACTAAGAAAGGCATGCGCCGGTATCTGTAATGCTACTTGTACCCTCGCTACCGCTAAGTGTAGTCCTTTGGTTTAAGAGACTTGTAGTTACACGTGCCAGTACATTTTGCAAATCTACCTACAAAATGATTTAACAGAATATTTGAGAGATACAACATAAAGTATCGATTTACTCATTGTACAACAAACGTATAGTTAATTCAGAACTAATTCATGTTCATTGACGCATCATCAGTCTATACAATAATGCACAGCCTGGCCCTGACTGTATTATACAAAATGTAGTGCACAGAGGTTTACCTGCAAAGTGTGTAATGCACGAAGGATACTTGAGTGAATTGATCATGCTCCATGAAAACAAACACATCTTAGGCTGACCGCAAGAAGCTGTCAGAACTATGTATTATCAATGGTAGTAATGGCTTTCTTGCGGGCAACCAACCACACAAAAAAGGCAGCTTTTACAGCATGAATGATTTTTTTTTTATCAGCTACACATCTCCATGGACATGAGTTGGAATTTCTGATTTTATCAGGAAAGTCAAACTTTGACATAAATGGCCAATTACAGTATACTAGGTGACCTTTGAACTACCGTACGTTCATTGAATTAACCATCCTAAATAATTGGGTAATTGGTATACCATAGCATTCAAGAAGTTTTTGAGAATAATACCCAAGTCACATCGACAACAGACCAAGATTTTTTTTACATTACCCTTATGTATCACCAACTAACCTATACATGTGACCAAGGATGATGTCATTTATTTATACGACATCAGCTAAAACTTTTCAAAATGTATTTCACGGTCTTATTTTTCATCTCTTCCAAAACACGCAAAAATCTGAATTATCAACAAGTATTAAACAACAATATTTCTTTAAAGGCAAGGAGTAAAAAAAATTCTTCAAATCCAAATAAAACCTACACAATAAAACAAAATATTTATCTTACAAGAACTCAAGTATTTGCAACAAACCTTGTATATTAAAACTACTAATCAATATAGTAGAATGTAAGACTTTCCATGTCCTAGAATTGACATTTGGTGTTCGACATGTACCTTCACTGATACATGCACATCAGACAATTTATGAATCTCCCAGAATATCTGGAATAAGCATCAAAGTTCTGATAACAAGTTGTAGTGGTTCCATTGACATGTTGAAAGAGAAGTTGAAAAGGGGTGTGTTTAACGTACATTTATACTATATGATGTCTTTTCCTAACATAAGTAATATCATTATTCATAGAATAAGGATTTAACAAGCTAATGCAAGTGGCTAAGTTCTTAATTAACTTTTCTATTTTGTAATTTTTAGCAATAAGGAGGATATTACAAACATATACCCTGTCCAGCAAGGAAGTCATGGAATATAACAAATGCAGAGAAAAACAAAAACGGAATGAACAAATGTATATAAAATAAAATGTTTTACTTAATACATACATAAAAGAACAGGTCAGTACGACATGTACACAAGAACAAAATATTGAACATGTACAGAACAATGACCAATATATAAAGAAAAAACATATCAAAGTTTACCTGATAACTGTTCTGATTTTTAAGATATACTTGAGCATGGGCAGGCCGGCACAGGGAGTAAAATACTTTCACTGTTTCATTATTTTTCATAATGTTCAACTACCTATAAATATCTTTGACCTCCAATAAACAAGTGACTACAGCAAATACTGAAAATGCATTTGCTCCTCTACTTTCAGGCTCAAAAGAAGAAGAAGAAAATAGACAATCGGATCTCCTCTTGTCAAGGTTGTTGGGTTCGCTTACCCTCTCCCAGCCCCCCCCCCCTCCCCACAGAAAAAAGGAAGAGCACATTGAATCATCTTTGAATCATCTTTGATGTATGAATCATTGATTCATACATACTTGAAGCAGCATTTGTTGTCACATTTACTAGATAAGCCTCTATGTCCTTTTTTTGTTCTTCGGCAGTTAACTCTTTCAGCAAGAGATATTAGTGCTTTGTAGTTATTTAGTCACACACGAATTCCATCTCACTGGAATACATACAAGATGTGTAGGAAGAAGGCATGATACACACATCACTACCACTAGGTATTTTGCTTTTGAATGATTCAACTCATCCACTTATAGATTTAATGTGCCTAAAGATAAGTTACATGTAACTATATTTACAAAACTTGTTCATTTCGCAAATTCCACTGCACATGTATGGACTTTGCGACCATATTCATATATCCTGTCTCTTAATTAATTAGTCATTTTTAATTAATTAATCATTTTGTTCACATGCTGATCTTTATAGAGTACCAATGTGTGAGGCCATAGGTTGCTGATTCCAAACAATTTGGTGTTTAACAATGGTGTGGTGATCACACCAGCACCAAACATTGAATTTGCCTAGCTCCAGCTCGTTGCTTGAATGATTTTGTGGTGAACCTCATGCGCAGGTTCTGTTGTTTAGAACCAGTCACCTGGATGACAAGAGAATATGACAATAGCACTTCAACACTCGATTCTCTATCTTGTATTCAATGCATTCTGTAAAGGCATTTTTTAAAGATGCGGATTAACTTTTGAACTTGAAACGAGTGGGAACATCTCACAACATTACAACCCTACCATTTTACATAGGTCTACAAATGAGAAAAAAATGATTTTGCTTAAGTTAAAAATGACTTTCATAAATATACATACATGAAAGAACAGAGTTAACTGGACAACTCCACATGGGCAGAAATGAAATTCATAGCCCTTTTGGGCATACATGTACTTTTACATGTTAAGGAAAAATGTCTTTAAGGAAAATTTTCAATATTTTATTAATGATGTTCTTGAACATTGTGGTCTACCCTTTGGTGACAAATATCTATTGCACACACAGAAAAACTAGTCTTGTAGATCACAACAACATTTTAAAACCATTTTTTGCAGATTTCTGCCGATGTGGATTTGTCCATCTGCACAGGAAAGGCAGTAACATCTTATGAGTAGACATTCATGACAACCATAGCACATTCCTCTTAAATAAACTGGAATCACAGAAAAGACTGAGTTGAGTACCGATGATAAAGAGTTCATTAATAAAAGCCTAGATTGTTGAGACACTATCGTCATACAACAGGGTCCTTCTTGACAGGTGGTTTAAGAGCAGGTGGCCTAGTTGGCACGGTCGGTTTGTTCGGTACCGCTGGTTTCTTGGGCGGTACTGGTTTAAGAGCCACAAGAGGTTTATCTGCTACCGGTATTGACTTCTCTGCAGCAACGGGTTCTGAGACTTTATTAGTTGGTGAAAAGTTCGAGCTTTCATCGAGTTCTGTAGAGTTGTTACGATTTACGTTCGGTTTGGGCCTTGTAACTGGGGTTGGTCTGAGCGGCACCTTGGGTACCGTTGGCTTTAGAGCCGGTTTCGTGGGTAGTCCTGGTGGTGCATTTGCAGGTTTGGTGGTGCTAGCCTCTATAGGAGGTGGTAACCTGAACTGAGGTTTGGCACTGGAATGTACAGAGGGGGGTTTTGGCGCTACCCTGATGCCCTTTGGTGCTGGTACCGACACCGAGGGAGGGCTCTTAGCTGGGCTGGGAGGTTTGTTTAACGGTACCGGAGGCCTTGATGGTTTCGGTGCTGTTTCCACTTTCAATGGTGCTATACTTGCTGTCGGTTTCTTAGCTTGTGAAACTGGAGGTGCAGGCCGGTGAACTATCGGTGTCTCCTGGGATCTTAGCGGTGCCGGTGCTGTTCGTGCAGGTCTCATAGCGGCTTGAGGAGCAGCTGGAGGGGCACCTGAGGCAGGGAATTTAAAGACATTAGATGTCTCCTGTAGATAGGTGTGCTGTATTGCAGGTTTGACAGGGGCATGGCGTGCAGGCCCGGGCGCAGGTCTACTCTCTTGATTGCGATAGTTGTTTGTGCTTGAGGGATAACTGGAAGAGAAAGAAAAACAGAACTTTATTAATTAAACTATCGTACAACTACTGTGAATAGCTTAAATACACATCATTATTCAAACTAATATTGAGTTCTACTGATGGAAATGCATTTGAAGAAAAACTTAATAAAATTAATTCTTGATTGTTTACCATGCCTCATTAGTTGATTTGAATCAGCAAAATGTATACCAAAGAACACAAATTTGTTGGAAATCACATTTACTGATGTGTTCTTTTGCTCTACTGGCCATTATTGGGGATAACTAGCCAGATCTTCTCATCAATTTTTTTCTTTCTTATTACTCGGCTCTTTAAAATTGCTCTTACATACAATGTAATATAAGTATTGAGCAGTCAGTGCCAGTTGGTTTGAGTCTGTAAACTCCAATTTTCTGTGATAACTTGAACTCAAGATTTGTTTCAAAAGGCATATCTTTGCATTAAGGTAAAGTGATTCGAAACTATGAAGGAATATCTCTCTGAATTTGTTCAAATCAAAGTAGACCCATTTCAAATAGTTTTTGAGATGACAAGAATATCACTGTTCTCGGGACAGTCTGCTTACGTTTGCTTTGTAGTTCCCTTGGACTTGGAGACCATCTTAGAAAGAGTTTGTCTCTTGCAGTAGACTAGGATTCCAATGAGAGCAAGGCCTGGGAGTACACAGAGGAACATGACTAGGAGCACAATGACCATGTTGGATCCAGGACCGCCTGTAGAACATAAGGATGAAATAAAGGGATGGGATTGGTTAAAGTTCTGTTTTCGCATGGCAACAGTAATCCCGATGATGATTGTTCTGAAGTAAATCGTCTAAAAGATTGCCAGTTATGAGGAGTAAGGGAGGAGGAGAGAGGGGGGAAGGAGGAGAAAGAGGGAGGAGAGAGAGAGAGGGGGAGGAGGAGGAGGAGGAGGAGAGAGATGGGGGAGGAGGAGGAGAGAGGGAGGAAGGAAGGAGGAGGAGAGAGAGGGATGGAGGAGGAAGAGGGATGGAGGATAAAGAGGGATGGAGGATAAAGAGGGATGGAGGATAAAGAGGGGAGGAGAAAAGGGGAGGGGGAGGAGGAAGAGAAAGAGAGGAGGAAGAGAAAGAGGGGAGGTGGAAGAAGAGGGATGGAAGAGAAAAAAGGGGAGGAGGAAGAGAAACAGGGGAGAAGGAGGAAGAGAAACAGGGGAGAAGGAGGAAGAGAAACAGGGGAGAAGGAGGAAGAGAAAGATGGGAAGGAGGAAGAGCAGGATGAGTTGTTGGAGGAGAGGAAAAGAAAGAGGGGGAGAAGATGATGGGGGAGGGGGCAGGAACAGGCATATTCATAATAAGGGCAGATGTAGAAGTGGCATTCTTAATAGTTGGGGTAGAATTTCATGTGAGCAGGAGTGTATGAGGAGGGTGATCTAAGTAAAGAAGTGGCAATGTAAAAGTACAGTTCTATGAGCATTTTCTGCATTTTTTTGTGGGGGGGGGGGGCGGTCTTATACTACCACAGTAATAACTGTAGCCTCTAAAAATTGGGAAAAAGAGGAGAATGTAAAGAACTAGGGTAACCTGCATGTACATTTCATGAGTGATCATCACAAAAATAGCAATCTCATGGTACAATATGACATGTACAAACTCTGCTTGCAATACTTCATGCTATTTCGAGATTCATGGAAAATGAATACATATTAACAAATGAAATACTTAATGTGTATACAACCAAATTCATGCTTGTAATGGAATAATATATATATATACATTTATACATGTGATATGTAACAAATGCATGACACTCATATGAATAACGGTAAATAATTCTACGATGTGAATACTTCATGGCCCATGCTTGTCATACAAATACATGAATACATAGACACTGGTCTTGCAATGAATGAAGATGGTAATCATGGAAATACAATGATTTCATATCTGAAATGAACACTTTCACAATGAAAACAAGCAACCATGACAATGTTATTAAACATACAGCATGATATCAATATAAAGATATCACAGTGATTCACAATGAGACTAATAATAAATAATTGTTTGAAATATGAGATTACTAAGTCTATGCGAATCTCAAATTGGCAGTTTGGTCAGTGAATTGTGACGTATTCGCTGATAACTCTTCCGTTTGTCGTATACAAAAATATCATTAATTTCTGTTTTTCTCCCAATTGTTTTCTCCTAATTGTCTTCTCCCTTTGGGGCATTACTCAACATATATTATGGATAGCATTATATTATATGTCCTCTAAAAGAAAAGATCCTCCTGAGTCATATATTTTGAAGAAAAAAAATGAAATTTTAGTCACTTTGTGTGTTTGAACAAATGGGAAAGTTATCTGCCACCACATCACATAACCAATTCAGCCAATTTGAAGAGCCCATACCTAAAGTGATTACCGGTACAACTTTCAAAAAATTCAGAACTTAGTATCATTTTTTTTTGGTCTGATTTCATGCAAACTTTCACCAGTTTTCTTCTCTGATTTTCTGCTTTTCTCTAGAATAGTTTGCTATCAAGGTTGGATTTCCTTTAAATGTGATATTTACCAATTGGTACAGCCTTTAGGTACACCCAAGTGACCCAACCATACATGTTTCACATAAGATATACCACTGCAGGGCTACATGCACAGTACATGCATGTGCCTTATGAAGTTAATACAGTTTATAATCATTACTATGATGTTACATCATTTTTTTTAGCCACTGCAAATCTTCAAAACCTACCCATTACCAATTATTTGACTGACACTTGCACCTAAACACAAAGTTCGCATGATCATTCATATACACGACTTGAAAGTACACTTCAGTCGAATATATCACACCTTTTTATTCATACATGTATGACATGTTTATGAATATACTGGTTAATATGTTTGATGCTTTCTCTTGTCAAATCATGCAAAAGTACTATTTTTCCCTTAGGGCATTTATTTATTTCTAAGAGTGGGGGAGGGGGGGGGGGAGGGGGTACATCAATTGGAAGTAAACAATGCATAGGATGCAACAATACAAATAACAACAATAAATCCTCAAGTTCACCCCCCCCCCCCCCACCCCCCTCAGAAAAAAATATATCTTGTAATAATCAGGTACACACAAAAATTCCTTTCTTTGTAAAAGTGAGCATTAAAATGCATTTGAAATGTAAGGGGCATTTTTCACCTCATGACTGTGTTGTATATTAGATTGAAAAAATATATGAATCTTTATCATCCCACCATATGTGTTTATAACTCTTGATAATTTTCACATGCACATATAGAAGTATAGAATCCCCAGAGAATTACCTGCTTTGATAATGCATAGATAATAAATCCCTTTTTACATTAACCATATGCACTTACGAGAGTCATTTTTAGGGGGTTTGGAATTCTTCTGCTCACTGGAGACTTTATTATTGTTTTAGAAAAAGTGAGTAAACATTTTATTCCTGTGATCATGACCAACTCTATTATTTAAAGTGCAGAGACTACAGAAAATGATTCTAAATTGAAGTATATTAATCTATTAAACTGATAAACTACTGCTTACAGTTCTTTAAAAGAACAGTCTCAATCTGAGTTACAGCGTATATACTCTAAGATCAAGTAATTCAGTTCACATACACTCAACCAAATTATTCATGCTCCTCCTAAGTTTGATGTTTAGGTGTTTCCTGTCTTTTCACTTTTCAGAGAGGGATAGAGAGAAAGAGAGAGAAGGGGGGGGGGGGTGGAGATAAAGCATAACAAATGGAGGCAGTGGCAGATGAAAGATGGAGCAGGAGATACATTAGAAGATAAGAAAGAAAGGGGGAAAGGACGTTTGAGGGGAGAGGAAAAGATTGACAGAGCAGATGGGGACACTCGGAAGAGAGAGGGGGGCAGAGAAAGAGAGAGAGAGGGAGACACACACAGACAGACAGAAGAACAGAAGAGATGATACAGGGACAGAGTTTTGAGAAAGTGGAAAAGAGTTGAAGCTTTACAAGAAGAAAGATGAGAAACGATGAGGATACATAGATAGATACATTGGGAGGGAAGGAAAGGAGAGAGGGGTGGGTGGGGTAGAAAGAAATGAGAGGGAGAGAGAGTACATGAAGGAGAAAACTAGCCTTACAAGCACAAGTCATGACTCATGACCAATGATGCGGAAGCGACAAGACATTTATGTTCATGCATCATTAAGTACACAGGCAATACATGACAGAATGGACAGAGACTACACTTCAAAGAGAGAAGAGCTCAAAGAAGGGATGAAGAAAAAGTGGGAAATTTACAAGAACAAAAATAGCATTGAAGTCAGGTCTTACTGTACATAAACTAAAGATTGTGTTTTTATTACCCGACCCAGAACCTACAGGTTTATTACCTTCAAACTGAAGAGTCAGTGCGGTGAACCCACACGTTTATAAAATATGTTTTGAAGGACTATCAGACATTTGACTACACATATATGACACCTTGGAAGATAACTGTATGTATCTGAGAAAGCATCTATACATATGCTCGATCTTATCCATGTGACTCGTAAAAAATAGTTAATACCGCTGAACCTTGGGCACTAACACAATAACTGAACCTGTAATCTACTGTTTGCTGAACTTTTCTCAACCCATTGCTTACTAAAACCAGGTGGCTCATGTATTAAGCCTGTGGCAGAAATAGAAGTGAGTAGTGAACAGGTTAAGATGTTACAAACACGCTTTCTTTCCTATATAACTGTCCTTTCTAAAGCACTTCGAGAAATATGAATGAGTATGATGATATGTCATTTATAGTGATGCATTTTTTTCCCACTGGAAATGGATAACTAGCATTACGGTGGATCAGCTGTTCTACATGATACCCAAAGTCAAATAAAAAATATGTTCCAATTTTGAAGACATTACAACAACCTCAAAACTAAATCTATGGATTATAATCATCTAGTGTGAATACATATATGTTGAATATAATAAAGTTAACTCATTGAATACTGAATTTTGCCATTCCTGTAGGCTCACTACAGGAGCCATATGTTTCCCAGATGCAATGTGTTAATTTAGTAATATGTTATGGTTAGAATACCTATCTTCACATCTAACATGACTAATGATTGTTGGTCAATAGTGACATAGATAGATATCGATAAATGATGGATATATATATATATTCTGAAAACATTGAATTGATATAGTGCCATGTGTCAAAGTGTGGAGTATAAAAATAACAGAATTAGTTAAATGTTAGATTTAGTTAGAGCAACAGCTAAGCAAGAATTCTATGCAGAACTGTTAATTAGGAATTGTTAATTGTATTAAAAACATATACCAGGCTCTCAAACATTTGTTATGTAAAATAACACATACAATGGTGAAATATCATGTATTATATTTAGTTCATGAGCACATACGCTTGGTGAAATGTTAGTTTTAAAAATGATTGTTATTTTTAGTGCTGAGGGCAGTATCTTTTGGAGTTAATTGTTATTGAAAGGGTGTTTAATAAAATTGACTGTTAAAAGTACCAGTATAAACCGATGAAAGAAATTGCAGTGAAAAACGGGTATTCCTCTTTAAAAAAACACTGCACCTGCATAACTTTCAAACACTTCATACTTTTCCATGTCAAGGTGTTAGTATGGAATTTAACACTTAAAAAACTCAAACTCCTCTAGATCAAAACCCTCTCAAAAATCAATTTCTGTTAATAAATTAACAAATTCAGGAAAGATTCCAGACAGAGAAGGACCAAGGTGATGCATGCTTTTCACACATATTTTTGTTTAAATAAAAATTATCTCTCATCCTCATCTAAGAAGAAGAATCAAAGGGAATTGAATATCTACCATTAATACATACATGTGAGAGGGTCAATTCATTGATGAACTTTCCAAAGGTCATAGTTTTGGTAGCATAAAACATCTTTCTTTTTAGAACAACTTCAAATATAAGCTATCTAAGACTTTAAAACAGTTGCTTTTCTTAGTCCTAATTTTTTTTTCTCGGCCCAAGCTACATGTATGGAAAGAGTATGATGTACTGTTTGAACATCTTTGTATCTCACTGTTTATACAGCCGTTGGATCAAATAAAGCATACTTTATTTACTGAATGATTAAGGTTTCAAAAGAAAGATTAAGGATCGAAAAGTCATCTACTCTTTATGACCATTGTATTCACATATACATGTAAAACGCAACTATGTCTCATGTACTACGGTTGACTGTGAATATAAGACCGATGTAATGAAGAAAACAAGCATGGTTTGCAGCAACAAGAACAGCATTGCCAATTTGATGAAGTAGTAGGGATTAATCGTGAAGTCTTTTGGCAGACATGATGCAAGATGAATGGAGAAGAGAGTGAGTACATGAAATATGAATTAGAATCAGATGATCGAAGAAGAGAGAAGAGTTTCCGTCTCGTATTTCCTTCACTGCTTTAGAAGGGCAGGCAGAGGATCGGAAATTGGCAACAAATACGACGAGTTGATGAGTTTCCATAGTTACCTCGGACAATAATTTTTCTTGTGACGAAAGATTTGGTGCTTTGCGAGAGTGTATTAGGGAATGGGGTTACTGTGAGGAAGAGAAGAATACCAGTCGTACAGGTTGACAGAAGACTGTGCTTGAATAAGTGTCAAAACAGTATTTGACTTTTGAATTTCAGTATATATATATATATATATATATATATATATATATATATTCTTCTCAATACCGTTATGTGGTTAGAATATTATGTCAGCCCCTGTCTGTTATATAAATATATACAGAAGTACCTTTAAAAGCTTTAACAGACTATTTACGAATATGGTTAATATATGTTAATCCTTTTTCTGTTATTCTCATTTACCAAATAAAACTAGTCAGCACAAAATAAATTTCTTTTCATACCGATTCTTTCACTCTGGAATTAATAATCCCTAGTTATTCCCCCAAATATTAGAATATTAATTAATTAAGATTAAAAACTTTTTTTTCTCTAGACTTAGTTCACACTAATCCTTAATAAATGCATTTCTATCAAACCAAATGGATAAAAGTAATAGTAGTAGTCAAATGATTAAAATATTAGATCCCTTTTCCTTTGGCTTGATATGAAAATCCAATGAATGAGAAGTTATTAAAACATCAAGTAAAGCTAAAAATTGTAACTTATTCAGCTCAAATGGCAAAGCAAGCTAAGCGATCATGCAGCGTTATCGATCAGCCTGAAATCATTCCTAAAAGCATCTGACATTTCTACTTCTTTTACTTATGTTTAAGGAACAAATAATTCTATTTTTATGATAGAAGATGAAGTATTAAGTGACCAATCTACTTGTGTCTTGTTTTATTCATTCATTGACTTTTAATGGACAATGTTAACCAATTATTGATCATTATGAGAGTGAATCGTGAAAGAACCATCAAAATAAAATTGTGATTGTATGATATCTTTGGAAATTTGCAACCGAACACATAAATCTTGATTGTATTACCATGTTATTAAAACCCACAAAAGTTAGTGTTGATAAATGTCTTCTTAATATAGCTGTTAAGGTTTTTTAACATACGTGTGTAATAAAAATAAATATGCGTAACTTGAACAACATCAAAGTATATGTTATATCTAATAATAATAGTGTACAAACTCCTGTATGGAACAACAAATTTTCCCCACATTTTCTGATCAATACATGCATAGAAGTATTAGTCATACATGAACAGAGAAATATATAAATAATTCCATTTCCATAAAACTTATACTCTGAGAGTCAACCAAATGTTTTATGAAATTAAATGATTCAATTAAACATACTAGCACACTTCCAAAATATAAATAATAAAATAAAGATGACTATTGAAGTATCACAATAAGTGAGAACAAGACAAATAGAAATAATGATAATGATATCTAGATAAATTATAAACAAGACAAAATAATCACAAACATGATGAAAATGAAAAAGCTGGGGAAGGATACTACAGTATTGTGCACAATAAAATTGACTTCTATTCAATATATAATTTACATTACTTCTCCTTTGAATCACTTGATCATTCAAAATGTCAACTCTGTATTTTAAAGCTGGGTCGTTTTAGAGGAATACTAATACGATCGGCCATTCAACAAACTCATATCTCTTGCAATTATCCAAGTGAAATTTCACGCAAAAGATTTTGGGTGATGCAAGCACAAGACATTGCAACTAGGATATGTGGGGGGGGAGGGGGTGTATTTTTGCAATGGGAAATTTGGAACAGATTTGGGGCACAGTGTGGATGATGCACCAATGCCTAATGACAATAAAGTCTACTTAAACAGTGCTCATAAATAACCCTTACGGTACCACAGGGTGCTGTACTGGGTCCATTGTAGTTCTTCTGAAAAGGAGACAATACAGAGATGTGTATCGGGAAGGGGTAGAGAGAGCGAGAGAGAGGAAGGGGGATACATACCTGGTTGATCTGTAGCTCTGGCAGGACCACTATCAATGCTACCTCCATACCCACGAGTGTTACAGAGAGGGGGGCTCCACTGAGGGTCACAGTGGCAGTGATTCTTGCTGTTGCACACCTGCAATTGGAAAGGAAAACAATCATTCATTAAACAAGGATTATCTGCAATAACAAATAAGGTAGACTGGAGATCAGAGCAAGATTTTGAGCATATCTGAATGTGGTTTTGATATATTTCTAAATCATCCCTCCCTATACATCCCAGTTAAGATTTTCCCTTCTCATCAGGGTTGACAATTTCCTGGAAAATATCTATATTTCCCACTGGAAAATACCTGTGATATACTGAACATAAAATGAAGTGGTATGACTGAAATTACAACATAAAAATGCTTTTCTTCTGACTAAAACTCCATCCTTTCAATGGAATTCAAATGTTCTAATCTGTTGGTTTATCATAAGTTCATTGGCTTTTATACAACTCACTCCTAGATCCTAATCATATGATTGGTCATATGTGGTAACCTAAGATTCATTTACTGAGACTATCCCTTGTTTTAGAACATTGGCTATGGGTTTATGAAGGATAAGCCCATGTGGACAGATATGAATACGACCAGATACTATAAACAGACTGATGCGCTTCTTACCCCATGATCATTGCAGTTATGAGGACATGCCCTGATGTTTAGAGATGATAGGTTCTGGCATTGGAAGTCACTGCACACCTGTACAGAAAGCAACAAAATCATACAAAACTTCATTAATATACTGCATATTCAATAAAATTAATTCAATTAAGATATAAGTCATGACCGCACAACTTCCTGATCATGGATCAATGCAAGTTAAACTGGGTATGGGTACCTCCTTTAGTATAATAACAATTATCAATTTGTCTCTGGTTAAACAATATATTTCCTGAATATTTCCTATAATTTGGCATTTCTACTTCAAACAATCTCTGTCTCCAAATACCTCAAATGAGTAAAATAAGTGCATTATAAACTAAGATCTATCACCTCCTCTTATTTTATTCTTTGTTTTTATATTTCTATCACTTTCTGTCTTTCCTTATGCTATTCTTTGTTTTTCCTTCTATCACCTTCTCTTATGTTATTCTTTGTTTTTATATTTCTTTCAATTTCAATTTCAGAATTTCCATTCAATCCCTGAGGTACTCACGAATCCTGGTGCACATTGCGATCCTGTGGCGACATAACCCGGATCTGGTACGTCTTGACCCAGGTCAATGGAGGCAGACTTGCAGGTATGCTGGTTGTTGTTCTCGTCCCAGATATAACCCTGGCTGGCCTTCGCTAGGGAACTCAGGATGGGATAGGAGCTTCCTCCAACGCACATCAGCTTACCACACTTCACATGACTTAGAGGTAATAAAAAGAAAAACAATCATTGTTATTTGAGAGTCAATTAATATCAACATTTATTGCCTGGCCTTAGCTAAATAACTCGGGATAGGATAGTGGCTTCCTCCAACACACTTCACATGACTAGAGGGAGAAAGAGATTTAAACAATCATTGTTATTTGAGAGTCAACTATTGAAGTTATGGTTGCAATGATAGTGTGTTTGTTTTACCTGACTGTTATTAAAGAAAGCTTGTGATTGCTTGTAATTCATGAATTATGAAACAATTTTGTGAGTCTACAGTCTTTATGAACTTACACATTTGTTTGTACTAAATTACAGGATTTTGCAAAACACTAAATTTGTCATGACTAAGGTCACATTTTCTTATGGTATGATACGATTTATCTCATTTTTTCTCTCTTTTTTCACTTTTAAAATAAAAAATCAAGATTATCACCACAACCCTTCTTGATCTACAACCCTCCCCCCCCCCCCACCACAACAAACATCTTACCTTCTTTCACATGCTTGGAACGATGAACTCGTACCTCCACAGTTACCAAAAGAGCTGCCCTGAGTGTTGAAATTGAAGCAGTTTTCATGTGCTACCTCAGCTCCTATGAACAAAAGATAAAAACGTCAAAATGATGTATGTAAAGGGGAAAGGTCATGTACGATTTAGCATTAGTTTGGGATGTAAAGAAAATTCAGTCTTTTTAATTTCAATACATGACTGTCAGGATTCATAATTTCTCATTTAAAATTTATAATTCATTTGGTAGGAATCATAAAAGAAATAAAGATTTTTACATGTATTTTCCGATACACTTTATAAAAAAAATGTATATCAGTATTTCAAATAGAATATTTTCTTTCATTATACCCCCCTCTTTTACAAAACCCCTTCCCGTGCCCCTGTTATGACTGGTCTTACCTGGCCCCCATATCTTCTCACACTGGTCATCAAAGGCCAAACATTGGCCATCATAACAGGTGGAATCGTCCATGTTGGCACACGTCTGACCGTTCTGTCTGTACACGTTGGCTGGACACTAAAATTGGAAGGAATCAATTAGTGAATTAATCCTCACATCCGATATCTATACCCTTGGATAAATCTGACTTGTTTGACTTTCACATGAACTTTTAATGGTTTTGCTTTACTATACATGTATCTAAACAATCTGTGCATAATATTCCCCTTTCCTAAAAGTGGAACACATCAGAGTCTACACGATTTCTTCCCTTGCAACTTCCCTTTACTTCTTGATCTACTAAAATGTATTTTCCCCCCTTCCTCTCTTTATTTCTTCGTCCTGACAAATATCAATCAATCTTCTATCAAAGTACCAAAGTAACCACTATGCATATTTCTGTTCTAGAAGACTGACTTTCATACATTACATGTACCATCAAGTCTAAATTGTCATCCCTCAGGTTTATCTTTTCACTGCATTAATGGCCCTAATTGGCTGCCTAATTGCATGCTGTACCATTTGCTACTTGTAGATCAACTTTTTAAAAAACTCAGTCAATCTATGATTCACATTTCTTCCAAAATCTCCCAACACAATATTCTGATTTTCAATTAAATCCATTACACAAATTTTAGACTGTTTCATCAGTGTCCCTTCTGTTTTCAACTTGTAATCCTACAACTTTGGCCAGGGAATGTCACATGACATAACCCAGCCCACAGATACACTTCTTTGTAACTTCAATAGAGTCACCACCTCTTCCTTCCGGCCTCATCCTGTTCATACCACTTCCTAATTAGATCCGTCATCATAATGTAATCTAAGTAAACTAAACATGGTTACATTTCATGTTTAAGACCATATTGTGAAAGTCTGATGTCTAATGTTTCATGTGTACCACATTAAATCATGACAACGCAATCTGTTGGACTACCCTCAACTTTAGATTTATGATCATGTTTGTCAAAACAGAGCAAGATCAATTTCAAAATGAGCCTCTTTGTTGGGTCAGTGTCACAGCTGTGCCAAGCACGTAGCTTCTGAAGCCGGTAAAGAAAGTAGGAGATTATCATACTTTCTACTGAGGAATGAAAAATGAAGTAATTGTTAATCAATTTCTTTCGGATTTCAACCTTGTATTTTTTCAACATTGTATGTTTTCAACCAAATGTCATTGTATCCATTGATCCTTACATAAAACTTATTCCTTCAACTTTCTAACTGTCCCTAAATCCCTCTATTTATTGTTTCAACCTATCTATTATTTTATTTCACTATCCATCCTTATATTAATCCTTCCATTTATCTCTCCATCCTCTACTATACATGATACATCTATTCATTTATCTATCCCTTTTTTCAACCTACAATCCCTCCATCAAACTTTTATTCATCCATGCATCCCCCATTTAATTCTTCATTTCAATACACCTCTCCATCCCTTATTCATCCCTCCATCCAATACACCTACCTCAGCAGACAGACCAGTGCAGTATTCTGGCAGGTCACACATGTTACTGAGATCCCGGCAAACCTCACCGGCCTTCTTCAGCTGGCAGTCTTCACAGCATTCTCCTACAGCACAGGTTGCATTCTCATGTAGACGACAGGTAGCAGGAATACAGCAGTCGTTGGAACATTCCTATAATCACAACAAAAATGCAAAATATTGTAAAACGTTAAAAAAAAAAATGCACTCAAAACAGTTACTAGAAGAGAGAAAATGATACCAATATCACACCAATTGATACAAGTATAGTTTTGCTAAGCCCAACACAAGACTTTTTATCAGATTCCTTTGCTTCAGATTGGTGAATAGTAAGATACTAACTGTCTCAACACTTCTGAATTGATATGAATATCTCTTTCCTTGTATTAAAGTGGAAAATTGAACAAAAGAAAAGATAATTTAAAAAAAATTTAGATCCTGGCCAGGGATGTCACTTCACACTTGTTTGTAAAACCTACTGTATGGACAACTGTATGTTTGCAAAGATAACCAAAATCATGTATAAAACTTGTAATATGAATATCTGGCACGTGCACTTGTATAATTTGCAAAAGTACACCATATTTGACATATTTTCACCATTTTCTTTTTCATTGCCTAAACTAAATGGTATTTTTGAAGCTTTGTTATTCTTTTGCATGAATTATATGGCTGCTGCTGAAAGATGTTGATTTTCCCCAACTATCACTCAAGAAAAAAAAAAAAAAAAAAATTCACCCCCCTCCCCAAACCCTCCCCCCCCCCCCCCCCCCCCCTTGGGTAAAAAAAAAAAAATCGGGAAAAAAATCAATCAGAAAACCGATTTAAATCTGGTAATTATCAGGCCTGTCCATGTCACTAACCTCTACTGTTCCGCAATCGCACTCCTCTCCAACCTCCAAGAAGCCGTTGCCACAGATGGGTCCGTCAAAGATCATATCAGGATAGTCAAAGAGACACGCTCCTAGACCCTTCTCAAGAGAGGTCTTAAGGTCGGTGTAAGAACACGTTGAGAAGTTTGTAGGAGGGATCGGTCTGTGGAGAAGGGCAGATAAATATGTAATAGTAAATAACTCATTTATTTATTTGTAGAAACCAAAGGGTTGGATTGATATAATACATACATACATACATGATAGATCCATGTGGTTACTAGTTTCTTCCTCATAGCATAATCAATCTGGTTCAGAAATACTAGTAAATAAGCCAATATCATGAATCTACCTTTAAAAGTGATTTAATCAAAAAATTTGGTTTATCTTTGGTTAGATAGAAAAATGTCATAAATTAGCCAATATTATAAATGTAAAAATGATTTAATCTAAATTATCTTTAGAGTTTTATTTTGCTCCTTATTATGAGTATCCTCCTATGCTTAACTGAAAATTATCAACACCATGCCCACAAATTTTGTTTATTTTTTTGTAAATAAACACAATATAAACTCAGTCAGTCATTTGATTAGAATGTACACAGCTCTTTCTTACAAATGAATATCATAACATGACCTTCAGACAGTCATAGACAATGACCCTGACTGGACGTACTCACCCACTAGAGGGTTCCATCACGCAGCCTACATTGGACGGAGCATCACAAACGCAGTTTCTATCGGAGGTATCGTGCATGAAGCCTAGATTATGGCCCATCTCATGGGCGACGGTGCTAGCAACAACAGCTGCGTTGCGATCATGGTCCTAGAATACAATGCAAAACAGATGATGCTTAATGTGTGTGTTGTTGGAATTACATTGTTATAGAAAAATTAGAAAGTAGAAACAGTGTTTTCTATTGGATGTATTGTGCATGAAGCCTAGTTATGGCCCATCTTGTGGTCCTAGATAACAATGCAGAACAGAGGACGCTTGATGTATAAAATGACATAAAATGTTACCAAAATTAGGAATTTCATGATTTGTAAAAGAATCCAATAACAATGATAAGCTGGAAGGAGGATACAATTAAACATAAGAACAAAATAAAAAAATAAGAGGAAAAGAGGGAGAAAGAGAGAAAAGAGATAGAGTGATAGAAAGAGGGAGGGCCAAAGATATAGATAGAAAGGAAGGAGGGACAGAAAGAGAGAAAAGCTTAGAATGAAGCCAAGAGAGGAGATATAGAAAGAGGAAAAGAGAAAGGATTGAAAGAGAGAAATAAAGATAAAGATAGACAAAGGGAGAGAAAGGGAGAAACAAAAGACATAAAAATAACAAATGATATTTACCTGGCTAACTCCGCCCGATCTCTCATCGGAGCACATCGTTCCTAACGAAGCCATCCCTACCGTGCTCCCATCAAACGACACACCCCTGTAATAGATGATTCAACCCAGACATAATTAATCCTTGTATTACCGGATGAGCGGATTCCAATAAAAGGTACACCCTTTCAATGGCACATGATTAAAGGGAAATCCAACCTTGATAGCAAACTACTCTAGAGGAAAGCAGAAAACTCAGAGAAGTAGACTGGTGAAAGTTTGAGTGAAATCGGACAAAAAATGAAAAAGATGTGAATTTTTGTAAGTTGTTAATCACTATAGGTATGGGCTCTTGGCTGAATCTGTCATGTCTATGTGATGAAGTAGCAGACAACATTCCCATTTTTACTCAGGAACTTCTTTCTCTTTAGAGGACCTACAATAATATGCTATTCATAATATATTTTGAGTAGTGCCCAAATGGAGAAGGCACTTATGAGAAAAACAAAATTTAATACACCAGTTTACGGTTACTTCAGTGCGCATGCGCAGACTTGTAATTGGCTTTAAAACAAAGCCAATGACCTGAGGTCAGTGGTATTTATGCGTAAATTAAGATTGCGCCAATGCAAATGATGATGTGTGCGCACAACGCAGTGCGTAAGCAGTGATGTCATTGTAATTCGCATGGGCGCAATCTTAATTTACGCATAAATACATGACCTCTAGGTCATTGGCTTAGTTTAAAATGGCGCACACAACTGTAAACTGGTGTATTGTATTTCTGTACATGACAAGCGGGAGAGTTATCCGCGACTACATCACCATCCACTGACCAAACTGCCAATTTGAGATTAGCAAAGACTTAGTGATCTTATATTTCAAACTTTCACCATCCTCCTTATCTTATTTTTCTGCTTTCATACAAATGAACTTATTACAAGGGTTGGATTGCCCTTTAAATCACCTGATCTGAAGCCAAAAGAGCTATCAATGCATATGGCTACATGTATGTAAACACTAGGCTAGTACCCTTTTAAAATTAGAGATGCAGAACATCTGCTGGCATGAGAAAATACAAAATAAAGGGTAGTATATCATCACTTTACGAGTGGGAGTCAAAAACAATTACCAAAATGTTAATATCCAGTCAAATGACCAATAAATCAGTCATACATTTTCTACAGACATTCAGTCTACTCATAATACCCAGAATAATGCAGATTATTTTCGGTATCCATCTTTTCTTCAAAACAGGCTTATATTGTTAGATAAAATGTGACATTTAAGGTTTAGCAGTGCATGATCAGGGAGACATCTAGTTCGTCAAAACAAATTCATAAAACAGAATTTTCAAGATTTCAATTCCCATAGTTATCTGCACATATCCCACTTCCTTATAAATACTTTTACATTTAAATTTGTTGTTATGCATTCAATATATGTGTTTTTGTTGTTAACTATTTTTACCACTTGGCCCTCATCTGCGATAAAATTTTATTAATAAACCATCTTAATTCAAGTCAAATACATGAACATAAATTTACTTGTTTGTTTGTTGTTGTTGTTTTTTTTTTTTTTTTGGGGGGGGGGGTGTAAATGCTCATCAATGGAAATGTGGTTTTGGAAATGTATAGTCCTAGGTTCAATACTCCAGTAAGTGAACTAATGCATTTGTGACTTATTACAATATAATCATCTTTTGTTATAAGGCCCAACACTTTTAAAGGCCTTAAAGCCACACTGTCCTACTGGTAGCTACTTGCTCCCTCTATATAGAAAACAATGCCTAATCGGTGATCCTTGGTCACCCATGATCCTCTTTTTCTTATGTTAATTGGGAGCTGAGTTGATGAGATAACTACCTGTCCAGTGACCTTGCAGTGTGGTCTACATCCCTCCCATAAACTAGTACAGAAAAGCTTTAAAAGTGAATCTTACGTTATGAACTGTGCATTGTCGTTCTTGATATCTGGGAGTAGTTCGTTGTTTCTCCATCTTTGAAACTCGCCCATCGTGTTTCCTGGGATGGAGCTAACGACAAAACGGTCTCCTTGACTCCAGGTGACCACGCCCACCAGCGCTACCCGAACATTCATTGGACGGTAGATCTATGGTAAAAAGATATTCATTAACAAGAAAATAGTAGTTATATATATATACACTGTATATATAAAGCATTAAAATGGTGCTTCTTTGGGGATAAATCATAGGTATTTTATTCTTTCCAAAACCAGATACTGCAAAAGATATACAAAACAAAATACGTAGTGCTTTGGATATATAATGAAGAAAGCCATATTCTTTTGAACACTATGAAAGTGTAATCAACTTTAAGAACAATGATGGAATTAAGAAACATTATAAAAACAAAGTTCTATTTTGGTTCTAATCTTCAGTACCTTTTTTATGCAGTAACAGAGTGCTTTCAATATCTTTCAAAATAATCAATAAACAAATAAACAAACATATTAAATAAATAAATAAATGAATAAACAAATAAATTTAAAAAAAATAATAAAATAAAATAATAATAACAAATAATAATGAATAAACAAATAAAAAAATAAACAAATCAAATATATTAAAAAATCAAATAAGTAAACAAACAAAATCAAATAAATAACAAAACTCAATGACATCTTACCATGTCCATGACATTGGCTATTTCTTTACTTCTTCCTGCAACGATAGTTTCATTCTCTTCTTGGCGTAGAAACTGCATGAAAAGATAAAAGAGAAGAGAACAATCAATAAAACCATAACCTTTGAGTTTTAATGTATTCATCTGCACATGTAATTTCTCATCAATTCCGATTATATGATTTTCTTTCGGTCGTTATTTTTCTTTTAACAGTAAATTCCTCAAATAAAAAAATAAAAAATAAAATGTTGAAATAAATTATTCATAAATCCTAATTTCCTGTCATGGCTGATGCATTCTACAATCTAGTTGTCATAAATTTGAGGTGAATTGAATTTTCTCTATTTAAAAAATGTTTTCACTCTCAAGACAATGAAATAATAAATTTATCAATACCAAAGGCACCCATCGCAGTTAACAAAGCCTAAAAGATATGAGTTACTTTAAAAGATATTTGAAAAGAAAAAAGAATCCTTCACATGATAAATCATAACTGCAAAGAGTGCCTTCCTCTTTTATTTTACTTAAGTCTGGACAGTTTAAAGGTAAAAACCAGTATTGGAAATGCCCCAATTTCAAAAAATGAAATGGAAGCTCTTATTACCAATCATGTGAAAGAATATGTTTTGAATAATACATGATGATAAAAAATTTGCCGGGAAACCGCCTACTTATTGACATATTTGGTAAATTAGTTTATCTATTGGTGTGTGAGAGATAAAAACGCACGTGTCGCGCACGTGTGCGTAGTCCCATATACATCTTTCTGTGTACAGTGCTTGTAACTTTATGAAGACTGGGACAAATTTCTTATCATTTTGACGATTCCAGAACCTTGCAGTACATCTACAGTGTATGCTAGATGATCAACCTTTTCTGATCGATTTCACAACGTTTCTTTCACAACGTTTCTTTCACAATGCAATCGCATGACCATAACTGGTCTTTATCTTTAATAACACATGACAGTGTACTAACCATGATAAAAAGATTTCAAATAGGAAATGACAGAGACGAGCAGATGAAACAAGTTGACCATAACTCCCATGTTGCTAATCAGTATGTCATAAATATTCTTCACCTTTAGAACTGGTTCTCTTCTTACCCTACCCAATGGCCCTTAACCATGCAAGATAAAACCACACTAGCTACCTCCACTACGCAACGGAACACCATCATATCAAAACACATCACCCTCAGCCAATGGATATGTTCACATTGGTGACAATCATCAAGCTTTTTTAACGTCATATAATCATCATCCCAACACAGTAGATGTGCTCACATTGAGGGCAGCGAACATTAACTTTTGCACAACACTATCTTATCATCACCCTCATACAGTGGATGTGTTCATACTGAGGGCAATCTTCATTCATTTTTTAAACAACACCATCTAATCATTAACCCCACACAGTGATGTGTTCACGCTGAGAGCAGCAAACATTCATTTCGCACAGAGTGCTGAACCCTTGCAGCTACCAATGCTATGAAACAGAACACCATCAGATCATCACATCACCCTCGGCCAATAGATGTGTTCACATTGATGGCAATCATCATTCATTTTGTTAACAGCACCATCTAATCATCACCCAACACAGTGGATGTGTTCACACTGAGGGCAGGGAACATTTGTTTCATACAGAACCATTGCATTTTTATGTACCAATATACTATGAAACAGAACACCATCAGATCATCGCATAACCCTTGGCCAATGGATATGTTCACATTGATGACAACCATCATTCATATTTGCACCACTAATGCTACATGGACCAATACATGCAGCAGAACACCATCTAATCATTGCCCCCACACAGTGGATGTGTTCACACTGAGGGCAGCGACTATTAATTTTTCACAGTGCTTTCAAACCATTGCAGCTGATCGCAAAAACAAAAAGTTAATTTCAATAATTAAGCAAAACATCATTGATTTACCGGTATACAAATGAATTTGAAAAGAAAAGATAAAGATTATCTTTAAATGATGCCAGGTTTCCTAATCAGTGTACAATTCTTTAACTAATGAATGAATATCTTGTATTTCACGTAGATATTATGTAGGTAGAGAAGAGCTCTGAACCCGACCTAGAATTTAACCATGCAGCTCTTATCCGTTTCAAGCCGACAATTTGCTAGCCTCCCTCATCCAAGTCTGGGTTTCATGGATAATCTGTCCGCAGGCCTGAAATCCAGATCCTTTTAAAGGTGTTCTAGAGTTCAGGTAATGACAGAATGTAATTTCTTACAATTTTTCAAATATGAAATATCCTTAAAATTCCCAGTCTAATATCTAAGACTAGAATTAAATGACCTATCAAAAATAATGTTGGGGAAATTGGGCGAACATGTATAATAGTTTGACAGCTCAGTACAAAACTCCCCTCCCTATCCAAAAAATAGATTTTAAACAAATAAATAAAAGAAGGAAGTCTAGCTTTAGCAGGAGTGCATAAATTGTGGGCTGTGCTTTCTTGCAAATGTGGTTTCATAACGTATGTTGTTAATTTGTTTCAATTTTTTGGTCTTGACCCACCCACCTACAGCACGACAAACAATTTCAGAATTATGCTCAGCCAGTTTCACTTGAAATGCAATTCCGGATACCACAAATCGAGAGTATCTTTAAATGGTGGCTTGCAAAACGGAGCCCCTCTATATATGCATCACCCGCATCAGTTACATGACGGTGACGGTCCATATAAGATGAGACGAGCCGCAACTGGTAATTGCCACTCCAGGAATAGAGAGGCCAATTATGATCATTCTCCTTTTTCTTTCTATCATTTCCAAACCCCATTCAACGGAGTGACGAGTGCCGGTTCGTTGATCTAAAGCACAATTTTATTCATTTTCTGTTCATCTAATGGCTAGAATGACGGAATAGTGGAATACGATCATTATATCTCTTTTCGTCTAGTTCTACCATTTCAAAACACTATTATACTGAATGGTGATTATTGGTTCATCAACTCTTAACTTCCCTGTTCCTTTTGTTTTCTAATGGCTAGAGTGAACAATTATGATAATTCTCTCTTTTTTCCTACTATTAAATCCCGACATCAGTCTACAGACTGGTGATTGCTGATTTCATCAACCTAGAGTACATTTTATTTTCATATAGATCTCTCTTTTTGTTTTAACGATTATTATTATTATTGCATAACTAATGTGCATGCATATATGTTATGAATGCATGATCAGCAAGTGAGCCTATTATTTTGCCTTCTTAATTTCATATATATGCAACACGGCCTGTATAGTAATCACATCAAAATAGAAACTTGATTTTATGGGGATGTGTGACTCGCAGACCTACAAGTATTGTGTAGTGTAAAATAACAAACACGTTGTATCTGTATTCTGTAGAAGTTATGAAGCCAAATGCTACTTTACCATTTGTTTACACACTAAGCAAAGTACAATGTTTTATCAATAATTAAATATGTATTATGTAACAAACTGTTTCAAAAGATTTTCCTCTTTTCATTTCTCAAAAGGAAATTGTATGGAAAGTATAGTGTTTCCTCCCCTCCCCTCCCATCCCTCCTTTTTTCACTCTCTCTCTCTCTCTCTCTATATCTTCGTCCCCCCTCTTCTTGTTGCCTATGCACCTGCACATGCACCTGTTTTTTCTATCCCCCACATATGTAGTTCTTGGTCAGACTGACCAGTTAGTATCATTGTTCTATTCTAAATATCTCTCAATCATTATGAAAGTGTTGCCAATTTCTTGTTTATCACAAGTCCAAAATAAAAGTGACGACTCCTGAAATAAGACCCACTTCTTCCGTGAAAACCTGCGCCCTCGACAACTAATTATCCCCAAAAGAGGAATCTATTTCCATCTTTCGCCAAATGAAGTTCATCTCCAATTCTAATACGAGGTCACAAATAAAAATTGATTCTAAAACGATTCCTCTTCCTATAAGACATGGCAAGCTTCCAAGTGACAGATAAATTCACAAGGGATATATTCCTCATTTCTGGACTTCTATCAAATATCTCATTTCAATTATCATTTTACCTTCACTTTGATGAAGATAAATGCTAGGATATACAGTATACTGTATGTCACTCAAGGATATATGTATAGAAAGAATTTTTTTTTAGACCATCTGATGATTTAAATTGATTTTATTGGAGCAGAGATAATTTGTTAGTATCAAGAAAGTTCAATTGCCTGTAAACAGTTCCTACAGATTTTCAAAAATAGCCATATAATTCTCACTGAGGAAAAAAATTGATGTATATTTTACTGTTTATACATTTTTTTCTAAAGATTATCTCCTTTGCAAGGAATTTAGCATCTTGAATTATAAATTATGTCGGTTTTTCTTGGATGCATCAATCAACTTACAATCACAGTCCTTCTTCCGCAAATAATTTTATGTTTGATGAAATTTAGCATTCATGACAGTTAATCATTTCGTTTTTGAAATAACAATTGTTATATATATCTCCTTATTTATGATTCACTGTCAGAAAATTACTTTTTGTATTTTATATTGATATTGTTATCGAAAAACTGTTGTACTTATATATGAATGCAGAAGAAAATCAAATCATATCAAACTGCACATATTTTCCAGTCCATAAGAAGTTTCAACTTCCCTAATAAAAGATATCTCTTATTTTGAATTGAATAACAATCAAAGAATATAGATGAACATGTTTACAGGTCCAACCAGAGGTACTCAAACCAGAAGTGTTCCATGCTAGCATACCGGTAAGTGCACTGGTAGTTCACTCTTGCTTGCTATTCATGGCACGCATACTTCAAGGGCTCTAAGCCTGCGCTAATGCATTGCCCAGCCGAAAGAGGTCCTGTGCGGCAGGCAAGCAAACTTCAGCCAGACGAGCGATATACATTACGAGCACGTTACCAAACGTGTGCTCGGTATTCAAGCCAAGAGAGGAACGCAGACATTTCATTAATGAACCAACTCTTCCAAAGCCTATCTTCCCAAGCCTTGCTTCAGAGAGATAATGCACCAAATCATTGTCCTTAAAGGTCAGAAATCCAGAGAAAAAAAATACCTCACAGTGTACTTTTGAAATAATGCGTACATGCTAGTTGCTTTGTTTTCTTTTTATAAGATAATTTACAAAAGAATAAATTGAATTTTTAGAAAAGAAAGGATTCTAAAGCTTTCCCTACAGCTCAACATGATTACACTTTATTGTCTGTTTGGAGACAGAAGAATGACAAAGCTAATCTTGAGTTCTGGTATGGGAACCGTATTTTGAGAGAAAATTGCTATGATTTCTTCTGTATTGTTTATTTTGCAGTATATTGGTTGTTTGAACAAGTGATATAAAAACAAATGCACAAAAACTTACTAAGCATCATCTTCGATAAAAGCCACAACATTTGCACATAAAGACCTGTGTTAAGCACATGGTGTCGGGCCCACTTACTATCTTTCTAGGCTCATTACTCAGCCGCTATAAGTACATGACCTACTAAAATTGAAGTCACCCAAAGAAAATTCCCAACAACTGATAATTATGGATAATTTATATATGGATGGAAAGATTTTCTCTCGAAAACACAAATAATTTGTTGAAAAATCATATAGATATCATGGAAAGACGTAAAATGCAATTTTGTGGCTAGCGTTGTCTCCCATGTGATGTCATGAATCTTGACGCTCTCCAGAGGACCGCTGAAGGCAGAAAATCTGGATCTCAAAATTAACATTTTTGAGAGATGATTACTGCAGGCCCCAAACATATTTTGAAGAGGGAAGTTGTTATATTTGATCAGTAAGGCTTCCCCTTTGCATCAATTCAAAACACTTTTGATTCTTCAGGTGACTACTTTAAAATTCTAACCAGTCATCAGAGTGAGTTTGAGTCACATGAAATAAAAGAGAACTTGTAATTTCTGTCTTTATCCTTTTAGCCCAAAAGAAGAGGACAGGTATTTTTGGATTTGTTCGTTGAAGATTGACCAAAACATGAAATATTCATAACTTGAGATGGAAGTCTCATGTTTGTTTTGTAACAGCTCCATTCATGCATTCAATTGCAATATATATGCAATTTTCATCTGTACAAACGTACATAATCCTTTCTGTTTTCATACAATTAAAAATAGCACCAAAATCATACAATCTAAATTCACTGAATTCTTTAACCCATCTACATGTATATAAGTATGAAATTACTTCCATAAATTGAATTTTCATTGTTTCACAATCAAAAAGGTTGTTTTACCTGTGAGACTCTCACCTACTTTGTTACTGCAGGCATCATCAGAAATTCTCAAAGGTAAAACAACCTTTTTTTATTGTGAAACAGTGAAAATTCAATTTATTGAATTACTACTAACCAGATGAACTTCTTCAAGGATATATGAAATTACTTATAAATAAAAGATGTAAAGAAAAACAATTATCTAAACAAAATATTGATGTCATAGAACTTAATGATGACAAGATTGGTTCATCTTTAACCATATGGAAACTTCAGTCACATGCACCAGCTGTCAATATTGAGTTATTGATTAAAGTATCAAATGGTTTTTTGAAGGAGTGGATAGAAAAAAGATGTTCACATGAAAACCAATCAATCGATTAATACTATTTTGCCGTATGAAAACTTAAGTCCGACAGTTTGAAAAATCAATTTTCATGTTTTAATCATGTTTCTCCTTCAAAACAATAATTAAAAAAATTGCAGAAAGTGAGACATAAATTCAATCCTCAAAAGAAATTACCCCTGAGGGACATGTAAGCAAAACCACCAACAAGGACAAGGATGGTTTTTAATACTAAAATTAAATCAAATGTGCAAAGAAAAACAAGTTGCTCGCTCCAACAAAAGAAATAAATGTAAAATGTAGGCTTTTTACATCCACTGATTCAAAATTTGATGCTGGAAAAGTTCAACGCAAAATTGAGACGCTGTTTTAGTTTCATCTTCCAACTCCAACTTTGAGTAAGTAATAAAATAAAAAAATTGCTTGTAACAAAAAAAAATGATAATAATTATTTTAAAAATTAGTCAAAATAAGCCTTGTTATATTAGATTTTAAATGTATTTTATCTGTTTTGTACAAAGCATGTTCCTTCCATCACATTTCATATTTTTCCATAAAGAGAAAACAATCAAAGTTTTGAATCAAATCGTTATCAAGACTAACATTTTTCTTTCTGCTTATGGATTCAGCAGTCTACACACATACCTCTTGATAGTCGTTAACGATGACTAGCTCGATAAATTTAGTTTCAGAATGGACGTCTCTCCGGGTTCGGTGCCCGAGGGCTGGCTCCTCTGCTCCTTGCTGAAGTTGCTCATGATGTGATGAATCCACGTCAAACACTGCAGACAAATGATAATAATAATAATAAATGGAATTAGACACTCAAAGATATCATTAAACCTAAAAATAAACAGCAGTATTTTTAAAATTAAGTTGTAGTAAAGTGAATTATTGGCATTGGAGTTTGGGATCAGATAGCCCTTGGTTGATATTGGTGATGTACATTAGAAGAAATTGTAGAAAAACACCTCATTGCTAGAGACTGAAATGAAATGGATTTGACATGTATAATCAAACTTTCATCAAAAATATTTTTATCATACTACATGTATATTAATGCTAATATTGTGGCAAGGGAGAGGGAGCTGATTTATAGTTGTAATGTGCAGCTGTAAACCTGAGTGATAATCAATAACAATTAAACACTAATTTTGTAATCAATATCCCAACAATTGAATGATTTCCATTTTCCTTCAATTAAATTTTGTAGCTCATTGTCTAGAAGACATAAACGAAGGTCAGGTTTAATGTGAGGTTTTCTACAACTAACCAGCTGTGTCACAACACTTCAAAACATTAATGTCAATGACTGTCAATGTCACAATTATACATTACAAGAATAAATCCCCCCCCCCTCCCCCAGCATTCTTCATGCCCTTGTTCTATTTCACAGCCTCTCATTCTGCATTGTTTTGAAATATGTTGTCCATGGAAGACTTAAAAGCCTTTCAGTCATCACAAAATATTTACTCAATTTATAAGTGCATTGTGCATGTATCTTTATTTCTAAAAAACCTGAATAGGCCTACTGTTTTTAATCTTTTTTCTTGTTTATTCTTTTTTTTATACAGAATTTAACATAATTTCAAGGGCAAAGGAAGGAAGCATGATCTTTAGCGTTCGACTAAAATCATATCATGTGATTTCTCCTTTTATTTGCTTTTTACCCATTTAACCCATAATCAGCGTGAATCCTATCACAATAAATGTATAGGGTTTAATGACACAGATCAGCAAGAGCTGATTAAGTATAGGCCCATTTACAATACAGAAAAACCAATCTTGATAACCATTGGTTTTTTAACTAACATTTTAAACTACCGTATTGGAAAAAACAAAAACATAAAACAGTTGTTCACTTGTCGCTGCTTTACAATTACATGCTTTAGCAATGAAGCAAGGAGAGTCACGTTACCAAAAACTGGAATAGTTCATCAGTGTTTTGAGAGTGAGCATTTACACTGCAAAAAAACGGTGGAGTTTCGGCTGGCGTTTAAAAAAACAACACTCCAGAGGTGGATTTTTTGAGCAACTTCCAACAAAACTACGGAATGAAAGAAACACCAACGTTTTTTGGTTGCAGTGTAAATGCAGCTTATGATTCCTTATATCTTTACATCATAGAGCACCGATTGCAAAACATCATGAGGTAAATAAAGGCAAACAATCGCCTCATTTCCATCAAGCTGAGATATATTTGGTTAACTTCACAGTGATCATCACCAGCTGAGCTTTCTTCAACGCACTGCATTCTGGGATGCATTATTTCATTACAACATTTTGCTTTTGCCATTTAGTGAAAAAATATGAAAACTATAACCACATGCATAGCTTGCTACGACCTACAACAATTTCAGAAATTACGACAATTTCAGAAATTTCTACAATCACCTAAGTTTTCTTTTGCTCATTGATTGAGTTCTGTTTTTGTTCTTATTTCCTATAAAACCTAGTTTTCTTTTCAACAATCACTTGTCTATGTTCACTTTGAAAATATCTGTTTTTTCTAGTTAAGTTCTACTCTGTAGATTTTGATTTATATTACTACAGAGATTTATACTTTGAATTAATTTTTCATTTCATTTAAACGATTAAAGCAACATTAAAATTTCCACTTGTTACATTTCTAATCAGAAAACAACCTTTTCTTTTCTGATTAGAATTGTAAAATGTTGTCAGCCATATGTCGTGTCAAGCTGATGCGATTCTCCTATCGAGATCAATCTGAAACAACAGCCTATAGACAGAAGCTTGCTATCTACTCATATCGAGTAAGATAAGACATGGCAGAAATCACTGTTATTTCAGTAGCAAACATCCCAAAAGGCAATGCAATCATGTCAAAAATTTCCGCTCTAAAATTCCGCAACATTTTTTTTGAGGATCCACAATCAGATTACCTCCCAGCCTAGGTAAAAACACGACAAGGCTTTATGTAAGCGCTGGTTATTACGTCGCCCTCAACCAACTTCAGCTATAACCTAATTTTCTGTCGATTCCCTTCAGGCTTCGTTTCAGAATGGCGGATATACCTTTGGGGAAATTCATGTCTAGGGTTTCATACAATCTTTGGGGTAATCTAGTAAAATTCTGTTTTGATTTCTCAGCACCTTTCGAAAGCATCCCCATCACCTCTCGTCAAACCTCTTCCCCCCTTTTCAAAGGGCCTAGAGGCAAGAGACATTTCAGAGATCATGTTAAGTTGGAATTTCAAGGAAGAAGTCACAGGTTTTGAAAGGCCTGTCTTCATTAGCTCGAGATTGCCAAATAGCCGCAATTTCTGATTTGGGAAATAATCCCGAAGTTACAAATCGCGTTTTGATCAGTTTGAGATTCGACGTCGAAACTTGAAAGTCGACCTTGAGGAAGACGCACCGGACAAATAGCGGGATATTTTGCAAACTAACCCAAGATACCTTAGGATGATTATCCCGACCAAATATCCCGCTAATTGCAACTTCGGGCTGACAAAGACGCAAACTAACTGGATAATTTTCGATTGGGATAGTTGAAATAGCGGGATATTTGGCAATCTCAAGCTGATGAAGACAGGCCTTAAGTCAGCAAATGATGCTTGTTGCACAATCGACCAGCCAGGCTTATGTTGGCTAGAGAGAGAGAGGAAATGCAAGCAGATGCTGATGCGAGTGTCAGACAGATTATTTGTTTCGCTTTCTAGGGATTTTCAAGTCTTTTAAGGCCTCAGCTCTCTGCATCAATTTGAATACTTTCACCACAACCAAGTGCTCCTCTTGGTCTATAGAGGACGAGTAGAGCTGCTTATCGATGCGAATGTACATGTAGTTTGGGAGTTTATGGCCTTCAAAAGGACATCAACCTTTCAAAAATCTAACCAGAAATTGCACATGAATAATTCGGAAGACGTCATATTCATTTTTGTATAGGATTGAAATTATGAAAGTGGTGATAAACCTCTGTAGAGTTGTGTCATTTTTATTAAAAGTTAACTGTGATTCCACTGCAAGCTAAGGTCTAATATCTGATGTGTTTTTATATGTGTCACATTTGGCTGGAAACAAAGTTTACAACTTGCTTGCCAAGTTCACGTAATTTGATTTTTTTTATTCAAAAATTATTGCTAGGCATGTCTTTTTCTTCTTTCTCTTCAAGGCAACATATCTTATTTAGAAGACATACTTCATATACAATGCACTTATATCGTTAAGGCAGGAATTTATGCTTATCAAAATTGACTCGTAAATATAACTTGGAGGTAAATATATAGATCAATGCAAGGATAGCTGCTCGAGTCCTTCTGGTAATCAATACGAGCGACTTATTCTGACAGAAAAAACATTAGCCATTGATTTTCTCTCTTGGATGAATGAAATCCTCCTATCCCTTTCCGTCAACTTCCCTCTTAACATTAAAACCAGATCTCCCAGGCAAAGTTTTCCACTTAATCGTTATTAGCATAGATGCCCTAGAGATGACTGGATGATAGAGATAGCATGCCACATTAATGGATCGACATGTCATATTTGCTCCCTAAAGACTGCCCCGGGGGCCCACATCAAGGCTCAGATTTGTCTCTACTTTCTAAAAAAAAACATCCAAGTGCATTTGATAATTTGCATGTTATGATGGCCCAGCCTTCTCCGCGGGTCTCTAATCATAAATCATGCGTGAGTCATGCGCGCGGTGCTTTAAAAATTAAATAGAAATCATAATTTGTTTTGAGTCTGTAGCGTAATGCGATGGCAGTAATTAGGGCTTGCGTTAATCCGACATTTCCCCGCATAATCTTGAGGCATCTCGCCCCAGACCGGCCGGAGTGACTTATCTTGACGGAGCAGGGGTATTATGAATGACAAGAGAGAAGATCTGAGCTGGCGGCTCCCTGCCTCCACGCTGGATATAGGAAATTATTGGACATCATTGGCAAAATCCGTTCCTAAATCCAGTCTGACTGCACGTACCAGCCATGTCTCGGTTTCGCTTTCAATTGTTATATCGACTGCCTCAGTGAATTCAAAAGCTCTCAGATAATGATCCTTGTCTCTCTGTTCTGTTGTCATTTTTGACTGAAATTGGGGCAGATAACTTTATCCTGTGATTCAAATCTCTTTCTCTTGCGTCTCCTTTTGTCTCCTGTGACCTGTCTACTGCTAAAACTTTCAGATCTATTTCTGTCCTACTAACGAAACTGTATCATCATAGGAATGATTTTTCTTCTCTATTCACTTATGTTATCTTTGTTATTATTTGAGTAGCCAATTTCCTTTTATTTATTTTGGGTCTTTCTTCTCCCTATTGTTCCTCTCCTCTTCTCTCCATTGTTCCTCTCTTCTTTTATCTATTCTCTTTATTCATCTTGCAAGGTAAGATGAAGTCCTAAAACCACCTGTTATTTTTCTTTCTATACCACTCTTTCCCGTATAATTTCTTTTGTAATTCTGGGTAATATGTGACTTGTCAATCTGTTTACTTCAAAATATAGTAATTTAGTTTTAAATCAAACTTTGTATTTGCCTCACTGTCTATACAGCTATTCATAAATCATCCACGTCGCAATAATAATCCCACGGTCTCCTATTTAAACCTAAAATCTAATCAAATCAACTCAGAGTTGTGGTCAAAAGTCAAAACTTGTATTTACGTTAAAAACTTATCTTTCAAAATATACATGTACGTGCAAGAGGGCTATTGATTTCATCCAAAATAAAGTGGGAAGTTTAATTTTCTCCTTTGCTTCCATTTCCTGAAGATTTATCTGTGGTTTTTGAGGGGGATAAGCATATCTGCTTCACGTGTAACCCTATCTTCTTTCAATATTTGGCTACGGAGAAATATCTCTTACAACTCAACTGACATTTCAAATTTTGGTTACCCCTCGCATATCAGATATCCTCCATCTCTTAACCTTTCCCTTTTTAGTTATCTCTACTCTCTTAGAAAATAAAAAAAAAGTAGCCCACACAGAGTCCGAGATAACTTCACGGCGCTGCAACCCACAGCCTTGTGACGTCAAGAATGATTTCCTCTGCCGGTTCATGTGCGTGTGAATAATCTTTGCTGTTATGGGTTAGTGGTAGTTCATCAAGATGACAGTTGTCATAACTATAAGTCATGATGTCAAAAGACGGTTCACACTCCTGTTTCAAATGGATCTTGAAAGATTTCTCCAAGACTTTTCTGATGAAACCTACAGTTAGCAGATACTCAAGAAGGTCCTCTTCACTCAGAATTACGTATGTTATGTTACGCTCCTGGGATAAGTGATCTGCGGTCAATGTTCTACACTGCTAAAATTCCTAACCTTAACCCTAGATTAAACACTATACCTAACTCAATCCCTTATGCTAAACCTAATCTACATGTAAATCCTAACCTAACTCTATCCCTAATGCTAAACCTAATAAAAAAATCCAATCCTAACTCTAACACTAATGCTAAACCCAGGATAAAAATCAAACCAACCCTTTAACCTTTAAGTCTTTAACGAGATAATGCCCAGTGCAATTGTCAATGGAGCAAGATCTATCTTCATACAGCATTAACATTTGGTTCTTCTTCAAATAAATCACAAAGACCTCTTAGTGAAATTTGTGGCAGACTACTCCCATCAATTACATCCCACAAAATGTTATGTCTGAAATTAATCTCCTAGATAATAATATTTCCAAATGTGAAAGGGGCAATAACCTGATATCATATGGCTATCAGGTATGCAGTAGATCTTCTCTTTCCCCACTTTCCTAGAGTACTTACCCCACGTCTTCTTGTCACGCGTATCCTGCGGTCTGTAGACTAGATGTTGTTCGTCCGCCTCAAGCAGTGGTTCGATATAATAACTTTCACCATCTGCCATAAACACTCCACTGTGGGAGAGAAACAAGATAGGAGAGAAAAAGAAAAAATAGAGATGTATACACTTGATTTAGAAACCATTGCAGAGTACGATCTATAAATCTATTTATAAAAACCACTCACAGTAGTCTCAATGTAGCAGTTACATGTGTAAAGTATCAGTGTGAATTTTTTTTAAAGATATACTATACAAAACTATAAACTAAACTATAAAAACAAATGTGAAAGTTTTTATTAGTAAACTATTGTTTGTAATTCTATCACTAGCATGGACAAACAGAATAGAAATTTGTTCATAAAAATTAAACGTTTGTACATTCTATATGAATAAAAGCTGATTTCAAATACTGTAAAAGTAGAAATATTTGTGTTACATTAATTTTCCGCGGATTTCGTACTAAGACTGCCAAGTTCGAATATTAGAAGTCGCAAAAATATAAGAATGACTTCTTAAAGGAGCTACTCAAAGAAAATTCACTAACAACTGATAATTAGAACAAATTACATATGGATGGAAAGATTTTCTCTTGAAAAACAGGAATGATTTGCTGAGAAATCATATAGATATCATGGAAAGGCGTAAAATGCAATTTTTCAAGACCCTTCTTAGACCCCCAAGCGCCCCCGAACGTAAGCCAAACACACGATAGTGACGTCACACACTGGACAAACAGCTCGGTACCGGAGTCGCGCGTGTATTAGTCTGCAGCTAGCCAGCCGTGTCCCGTGTGTGACGTCACAAATATTGACGCTCTACAAAGGACAGCTGAAGGCAGAAAATCTGGATCTCAAAACTAATATTTTTGAGAGTTGATTACTGCGGGCCCCAAACATATTTTGAGGAGGAGAGTTGTTGTATTTGATCAGTAAGGCTTCCCCTTCACAATGATATGAGTTTTGCATCAATTCAAAACACTTTTGATTCTTCGTGTGTCTACTTTAAGCGTGTTTTGAAGGGGCTGAATTGCATGCAAAGCAAATTTAAGAACCAGCGAATATGTTTTGAGGTTGCTCTGCACGAAAAAATTATTCACACAAAAATAACAGCGTTTACAGTAATAGAATTTGCTCGAGGAATACATTCTCTCTCCAGTCTCCATATTATTTTTCTCTTTCCTTTCGGTTCGAATCTGTCTCCCTCTCTCGCTCTCTCTCTTTCCCTTTTCTCTTCACTATGTCTCCCTTTCTTTATCTCTATCTCTCTTTCCCTTTTCTCTTCACTATGTCTCCCTTTCTTAATCTCTCTATTTCACTGGTGATCATCATCCCTCTTCCTTTTTTCTATTGCACTCCCTCCATGAAACTTTAATGAGTACAAATTACGCACTTATCACATCACTCCTCCCCAGTCGAGTGATGGTTTTTAAAACCACTGAAGAGCCCTTGATATGATCCTCATTTGACTTGGTAATGTGCAATGCATCCCATCCATTTAATCTGCACATGATAAGACAAGATCTTCCGGTTGAGAAATCAAGCTTCTATGCTTTTCTTTTACAAGTCTGTCTCATCATCTCTATTGGTAGGTATTCATGTTTCATTTGCTTTGTATTCATTACTTACTGCACTACTAGATTACACAAACAGGTAAAATAATCTTTTTAAGGATGTAAGTAATGATATTCTAGGAAATTAATCGCAGGAAAATACTGAGAAAAATAATGAAACAGTCATTCTAGAGAGTACTTTGCAAACACCCTGGGAGCCTTTCCACAGGGTTTTGGTAATGTATAAGAATGCCAAAATCACAGAGAATGGTTAATGGTTAATAATGCTCTATCTTGTGTTGTTATCTGATGTATCGCTTTATTGTTTTATCATTTTACCTTATTTTGTACTCTTGATGGATTTATACTCTTATTCTGTCATGATGGTATTCTGTTTTGTATATTTTATTGGAATTGAATAAAACTGAATTGAATTGAATTGAATGGGAGATGGTGGCCTATCAAAGCCAGTATGATTCATGACTGAAATGATGCATACTACATTGTATATGTAATACAGGAATCTAGGAGATTGATTAGGTATGAATATAATTTACAATTCACATGTTGTGAAATCTCTGCAGCAACTACATATACACAGCTCAGGCACACACATGCATTCACCAAAACAACCAAAATTTTCAGTAAAACCAAATTGAGGAGATTGATTCTCTAGGACTTTAAATTCCAGTCAATTATGAAACACATCCCTTTTTTCCCTTCATCGCATATGACTCGTGCTCCAGTTTGCAGTCTATTTGGGATAAAAGTTCCCTACATTTTACATTTCCGTAAAAACCCAAATCAAGGTGAATGATTTGGTGGGACTTCAGGTTAAGGTTGAGTCAATTAAAACGCATATCCCCTTTTTACCCCCATATGACTCACTCTAGAGTTTTTCAAACCCTTTTAGTAAAAAAAAGTTTTTAAAACATTTTCTGTATAACAGAAATCAAGGAAATAATTTTCAGTTATATTTCCAAATATGGTCAATTATAATACACATACCCCCTTTTAAAGTTATACCCCATATGACTCACTGGACAGTTTTAGCAACCATTTTTTTTTTTTTTAAATTCTCTACACTTCTGTTTAAAAAAAATCAAGGAGATGGACCCTGTAAGACTTTACAGTAGAGTCCACACCCCTTATTCACCCCATGAAATGACTCATTCTACGATTTGTTGCACCCCTTGGGTAAAAACCTCTTGATGGGAACATTCTTCTTCTTTTTTCCGTAAAGAGAGGCATCTAATCATCCTTAGAGCTTCAGGTGTATCATCAGTTCATCTGTTTGGAGCCAGAAGGACGTTAAGTCATATACTGTAACACAGAGTTAATGCCCTTCTGGGTCCGAGCATTTGAGTGATGCAGACACTCTTCTCATGGAAAAGGTGACGCAAACGCAACCGATCCATGTATTATTCATGTCCATGGTACCTTTGCCAAGTGACACATGCGGTCATTCATGTAGTAAAGGACATATCAAGTGTTCAGAGCCAGAAGGGTATTACGTCAAAAGCTTTTACACATTGTTAACGCCATTCTGGCTCTCGATCAACAGTTGAAATCAAGAACTATTAAAATAGCTTAACTGAGAAAACTATTAAATAACAATTGATAAACTGAATATTTCATGCTTTATCACGCTTTTTCCCCCTTAGCATATTTAATTGTATTTTCAAGGTTTTAATGTGGGAAATCAGTCAAGTTTATCCTAAAATATTAATAATTTGGTATGATTCATTTTGGAGATAGACAGTTTGGCTCTCATACACATCAAAGAGCCTTGAGGTTCGGTAATAAAAAGAAAACAACGATAACTGCCAAATTGATTAATATTAGGAAAGGTTTACTTATATTTGTAGGAAAGAGGAAATATTGTACTATTCAATTGATTTTATTTTTGGTATATTGATTCACAATAACATTGGAAATCTACAGTACTACATGTATCACTACCTAATCATCACCTTTATTACATGCTCATTTATTTCACTTGGGAAAGTATAAATATTTTCCCCTCTAATATTTAATTCAATTCAATTTATTTATTTCCACAAAACTCATAAAAACAGTAAAATATGTACAACAATGCAGAAAAGAAGGGGAAAAAAAAGAAGAAATATTACAATAGAAATAAAAAGATGCAGTAAAGAAACCATACATATTTAACATGATAATAGAGTATTATGTAGAGGGATTAGCAAATGCCAAAGGCCTACCACTTTTAAAATATGCAATAAGATTAAGCTTTGCTCACCTGATTCCATTGCAAGTACTGAGTGCTACGGATGATGTATTAGCTTCTCTTACTTCTCCGTGGTAGTAACAATGATGCTGCATCAAATCAAATATAGAATAAAAAGTCCTTCAAAATACTATTCCCATCTCTAAATTTTCTTGCACTAATTTCACTCTCGAAACGAGAATATCAAACATCATGCAAGCTGTTTAAATCAACTTTTAAAAAATAGTTACCTTTGAAGAAAGAAAAAAAATCTTTTCAAAAAGGGAAACTTCCAATTTAAAACCTCTGACTCGAACTATTAAATAACTCAAATGGAGGGTTTAATCACTTTAAAAGATAAAAAAGATGTACACAACAACTTTTACATCACGGACTCCTAAGATTAACCCTTTTATATCAAATGAACTATAGTCATGATCCAATCATACATTCAACACAAAAACAATGACCATGAATAGAATCGAAAGGGGATTTCCCACATGATATCAATGGGACTTCCCCCTAAATCTTGAGTCATAACTTACATGTGGGTGAGGCTTCCTAGTAATAGCTCCGCCATCCTGTGCATAAGACCTCTCAATGTATCTTGCAGGAAATAGGTCTCTGTTTGGGAACACAAAGAGAAAAATGACAATATAAATATTAATAGAATTCAAGCAATCATTCTTTCCTTAAGACTTTGAAATATTTCTGTTTTCAGTTGCCTTTGGATAAAAGAACATCAAGTGCAGTGTATGTGAGAGAAGTTATTGAATGATTAACTCAAGCTTCTTAAATTGCTTCTAAATGCCATAAATATATTGTAGTAAACGACAATCTAACTTACTGAACTAAATAATTCATGAGTCTAATCCTCTTTCATGTAAGTTACATGGACATAAACTTGAGCAAAATAGGCATTGTGCCCGTGATTTCAAAGCGATATCAAGTTATCAACAAATTATAGCCAGGTGAAAAGAAAAAACATTTATGCTGACAGTTAGAAGGTGATCATAAGTAGTTGGTTGCAAAAAATTAACACTTTACATAAATAATATCACACATTATATAAATAACATCATATCACATATTACTTATGTAATATATATATTTCACATAAGTAATATATAATTATGTAATGGTATCACATAAGTAATATCATTTTGAACTCTCCTGGCTCTCAATTAATGAAAGATAAGGACTAAAAAGGAATTATTTGAGATAAATAGCTTGAAAAAAGTGGAGACACTTCTAAAGTAAAGTGGGAAATCAGACTTGTGGACTAATCAATAATTCTCATTTACGATTGGAGAGCTACTAATGGAAAGCAAAGCATTGACTCTGTAGAAGGTAAATGATTATTCAGTCAATGAACTCCACATGATAATAAAGTGGAGTATGAAGAACCACTTGTGGCTTCTACCGCAGGGACTGTGGTGACACAGAACCAGCTAGCTAAACACACAATGATAATGGCTGGAAATAAGTCACTGTCTATTTATCTATCCGCTCTTATGTCATCGGATGAAGACGTCTCGTTGGTGTCCTGGTTAAAAATTCTGTTTGTGCAAATCCAGGATTGTGTTGACCCAAAGAAACTGGGCTACGATCAACTTAGGTCTTACTCCTCTTTTAATATGAAATTTACAAGAATTAACCTTTAAAAAATGGTTTGCTGGAAAAGTGGATGCATTTTGTAATTTATCTGATGATTAATGGCATGTATATGGTCCTGTATATCTGTTAAAACATTGAATAGAATAATTAAACATTAAATATAATAATTAAATGCATCATCATAATCATCACAAGGCTACACACACTAACAAAAGTATATGTATATCAAAGAGATGATTGGTACTACAAAATCTTAAAATAGCAACAAAAACAGACATACTAAAGCTTTTCGTCTTGCAATCATCAGTAAATCACAAGGATGAACAGACAGCGGAAATCAGAAACTATAAAACAGAAGCTATAAGTGGAAGCTGTATAAAGCTTTCTGTTCATCTTGTGATTTACTGATGAGTTCAAGACGAAAAGCTTCAGTACCGGTATGTCTTTTTTAGTTGCTATATTTATAATGTATAACCAGAACCTTCAAGTGGAGATGTTTGAGATTTTCTCAATTGGCCCAGATTCATGACAGTTCATACCGCAGACAAAAATCAATCACACTACCGGTATTCTTGCAATCTGCAAGAACTTCTTACCGCAAAACAAAGAGTCATTATTGATAATTCCCTAAAGAGGATGAAGTGCAAAGTTTTGGGGTTTTACAGGAGCTCATTTGATCAACAGTTTTTATTTATTTTATCAATAAAAGAGTCATACAACAAGAACATGTTCAATTTATATATAGCCATCATTTGCATTGTATCATTTGCATTGTATCAAATGCCTAGAAGTTGAGGTATTCTAACCTCAAGTCTAAAATTAGTAACACCAGACTTAATTAAGGATCACCGTATCCAAGCAAGTTTCCCTCCCCTCGGGGAGTCGGGGTGACTAAAAACGATACTTTTCCTGATTGAATTTATCTCTAACCTTCCCCTGTAAAGAGCTTACCTGATGGACCATACTTTTTTTTAATTACCTGACTGAAAGTGGGCTGAAAATATGATGCAGTGTGAACATGAGAGTTTTAACCACAGAGATTAATCCCAAGTCAGCCCAAGGTGTTTAGAGGCATTCATACTACATGATTTAGCCTGGTGTTGACCCGTATCAAATTTAAGCAGTACATACACTTACATGTAGCCAAATTTAATATGGGTTAGATCTAGGTTAGATCATCTAAGGTCATAGAACAATGGGGGAAAATAAAAACAAAATAAAGCGACTGCTCATTTTGATCACCCATCCTCATTTAATCATGATCAAGGAATGAATGTAAGATAATGTGACCTTTGACCCTCTGTTAGCATGGGTTCCAAATCTTCAAATCATATTGGGTCACTTTTGCATCATCTTCCGGGTTCGACTACTATCACCAAAGCTTGACTACAGATAAGGGTCAACGAAAACTTAATGAAAACTTAATTTGTGTGTGTGAAATACCCAGGTTTACTTGACATGGATTCAATTTGCATGGCTAGAAGCATTCACACTAGTATTAGCTTTTGGTCAGCACAGGGTAAAATGCCTGGTGTGAATGGGGTATTAGCCTGAAATGAAATGAATCAGATGGCTTTTGGAGGCACAAGATTCAGTTCAAGGCATCCCAGTTCTAATGTAATTTGATATCTGTCCATCTATTCCGTCTTATTATGACAGATGAGGAGAATACGTTCCACTCAAGATTGAAAGGGAAGTGAAATCTTAGGCAGGTAGCTTGTGCTCCCGCCCACTGCTGAGATGGGGATAAAAGGGAAAGGGGAGGTGTCCGCCTACAGCATTAAGAGATGACTCAACACCTGAAAGCTATAGTGTAATTGATCTCACATCCATCCATCCAAATCAAAGTAAGGAATGAAACAAATAAAGAATGTGTAAGTTTGATATGATTCACATTGCAAACATGGCTCAGTGAAGAATTATTTTCATCATGGATTAAGATGTAAGCAAATTTTATTATGCCTCTTGACCTGGGTTTTAAGTACAGACTACGAAAAAGAAAACACGAGTCTCTATTTTGAACTTTAAAAAAATCTGACATATTCCCTTTTTACAATGCGTTCACATCTTCAGTAGACAGCACAATAGGCTACTATACGAGCTGACAACTAGAAGGGCGTAACTTGATTTTGACAGTATCAAAATACATGTAAGTACAAGCCTTGACCTCAATTGTAATCACATGAAATTTTCTCATTAGATTTTTTTAAAGTTTGTATTTCAACAAATGTTTTTAATTTATGAGTTCTTTTCCCCCAAGTCTTTAGCCAGAAATGAGTTGGAATAGGTTATTTTGATCAATGAAATAACATACTGCTTGATACATCTTGTCTTACTATCATAAGAGAATCACTACAGAGCCAAAACTTGTGTGATACTGTAAAACGGGCAACTTTCATGACATGGAGCTTTTATGCACTGAAAACGACAGTCAATCTCATAGAAACAAACCCCCACAAGCAACAAAATTCATTGTACTGTTGTAGCTCAAAAGTTTACTAGCATGAAACCGTTGCAAATCTTAACCATGCAAAAAATTGTAAAAAGCACAAGCTTGCCTAGTTTTTTATTTCATTGTAAGTGAATAACAAATATATTACAGACCATTAGACTAATTTAAGTCAAGACATAAAATGTTGATTCTTGGCCGGTAGGTGAGGGGTATTTCCTGTGTGGGACAGGGATTCCTCAAGGTTTAAAAGCTTCCAGATAATCTGATGAAGTCTGATTAACACACCAGTAACACTACTAATCTCTCTGAGATCCATGTAGAGTTCTATGTATCATAATAGCTTATGTTACAGATTAGAAGCTATAGGTACTAATCTCCATGTTAATCTCTGACTAATCCTGATCCTAGCTGGCCTTTGATCTCTTTGTAAGGGATTATGTTGAAATAGGTAAGGCTTTTAAGCCAAAGCTTCCTTCCACATAATCAGTAGGGGTCCTCATTGGCTACATGTAGAAGACTTCCTTTTTTCTAATGTATCCACAAAATCCACAAACTTGGTCAAGGACCATGGGATCCAACTTTTGAAATCCAATTAGACACTAATCCCTCACAATGGCTGAAAAACGACCTTCAGTAATATTTCATAGGTTTTTTTAAATAGTGCATATATTTCCTTTTCCTTTTTTGGTTGTGAAATAAAAGCATTACAACCTACTGATAGGTATTGTTATGCAGAATTGTTTTCCAAGTTGGGGCACTTTCCCCTGAATTTTGATCTAGTCTCTTCACAAACAAGCATATTTTCACCAAAAAAAACCTGTTGAGCCTTTGACTACAAATTCAATACATGGGCTGATATAATTCATATCTATATATGAAAATGTACATGTCATAATGTGGCCAAATACCAGATTTAACAATTTTATAATAGCAGTAACAGCGGTTTTTATAAGTAGATAATACTTACTCATTCAGCCTGACATCCAATGTAAATTGTTTTCCAAATGCAGACAGAACAAAGGAAGTTTCTCGCATGTGACCATCCTGCAGAAAAAGAAAAGACAAGGAAATGTGATTAACACATGACAGCTTTGACTGTTATTAATGGAAAATGTGCATGTATATTGGAAGTCTATCCCTTGCATTTATCCCCTGCCCCCTCCCCCCTAGATCAATGGAAGTTTTAAACTACCGGTATAAAATCATAAAATGTATATATATAACTTGTTGGTCCATCATGATATCCCTCCCCCTTTGTCCTCTCCATCTTCTTTTTTCTACATATCGTCCTTGTTTTCACGAAGTGACGGTAGTGAAGTAAATCGTAACGCAAAGTGAATGCAATTTTTTTTCACTACCGTCACTTCATGAAAACAGCGACGATATTGTCTCCCATTTCTCTCACTTCCCCTCCACTCCACGCTATCGCTCTACACCTTTCTCTCCCTCTCATTCTCTTCTACAGTTAATGTCATTCTTTGTCTAGTTTTATGGTTTTTTCCTCTGCCTATCCATCTCAAATAATTCTCTATCCTCTTTTTTTATAATAATAAAAATGTACCAAAACATCTTACTCTCACTCACTCTAAAAGCTTGAGTGTTTATTCAACATTTGACAGGTTTGAGGAGTGAATTTTTTCCCTCAAAATAGTCCATTATCACTTTTAACAGGCTGCTTCCAATCATATAAAAGTTCAATCAAGCACGTTATTTAAAAGTGTTTTCAATCTTCAAACCTTTTAAAAGTATTGATTTAACATTTGAGATTTTAAGTGCTTTCTCATAGGTACACACACCCTTTCCATTTGCAATAGGCAAACTGTTTAGTCAACTCGAACAACGCCCTACATTTGCAAGAGCACCACGTACTGAGAGACTGAAAGTAAAATCTGGGGCAGAGAAATTGTCTGCCGTGGCCATTATTCACCAAATCCCCAATTTCAGCATTGCAGCTAATGGGATGGAAACGGTAATGGGTCGCTCATATTCATTACAGTTACTGTACATGATGAGAATACAGGGTTATCTGTAATGCAGATCATCAAGTCTGACAGTAACAAAGGAAAGGTCAGGACATGTTAGCCCCCCCCCCTCCCCTCTCCTCATTACTTCCTTCTTAAATTAATTCCTTTCAGCTTCAATGGATTTGAAGGACAGGGAAAAGTGGAAAGGGTACACCAATAGTTACAATTATGAGAAATTCAGTCAAACCTGTGTAGAAAGATTGGTCAGGTGACATAAGATATTCTTTAAAGTCAGGTAGCAAGGGCAGATACAAGAATGTCTGATTGGAGGGGGGGGGGCAGAGTATTTGAAATCCCTAGAAACCCACACTATCTGGGTAGCTATACAGCACATGTGAATATTGTGTGTGTGTGTGTATGGGGGGGGGGGGGTGAATGGGGCCCTTTTCTCTGCATGTAGATATTTAGGATAGCATGTAGCAATTATTGACACAGGTTTCATTGAGAAACACTGTAAAACCAGAATAGTTCAGGTTGTCTTTCTTTACAGGTAGTCACTAAATCAGGTCTGATTCTATGTCAAATTATTTACAATTTTTTTTATATCAGACAGTCACATGCTGTTGTGAAATCAACTACTTTGCTGGTATCGGTAAAAACCCTTTGTAATGACTCAGCTTGTGTTTGGTATAAAGACTATCACAACACTGTATTTCACCTGCTATTTGATCCACTAGGTCCTATACTTGATCAAGCAATGATAACTTGCATCATCAATTACAAATGGATAGTAAAGGTGGATTATTGCTACCCTACTTCTAGAATAAAGCCCTGGATTAGTCATGTTTGATTGAGAGAATCCAATATTCATTGAAACTTAACAAATCTGGACCTAACCTAAATTACTTGCTCTACCTAGAACTTTATAATTGGGAAGTAGAAAATATTTATTCAGCAATTTTGTGATTAATAAAAAACCCTACATGTAGTTTGGTCTGTCTTGATACACATGCAACAAATATACACCAACAAGATGTCTCCTACCATAAATAAAACATTTGTGAGAAAAAATTACTTCCAATCCCTCCCAAAGAGTCCCAAGTTAACATTTATTGGCGATGACAGATATGTGGACCTGGGAGTCCTAAAGACCTATATTTTTCTCTGATTTAAGAATAACACACACTTGATGCTTGCGCTAGAAAATACAGAAGAATACTGTCTTTAATATGAAACCAAAACACCTTGGGACGGACGACCTCCGTGACCTGCCAGAGACAAAGGAACTCTGGGATATCAGCAATCATCGTATCTGTCTGGTGAAACTCCGGATGTGACACATCACAGTTCTACTTTGGCTGCCCCGAGACTGCACTCAAAACATAATTGCCAGTATCAAAATATTTCCCATGATAGTAAAGATGAAAAAAATCCATTGTGTATTTATTTAACATGTACATGCTTGTAATAGGTTTTTCATACAACTACGCTCTTCAAAAACCTTATCATTTTTATCACTGGTAACAAAGCAAATTAAATTCCAAATGTCAAAACAGTAGCCAATATTGTTGCATGCATTTTCTCTCTCTCACTCCTGTCTCCCCTCCCCCTATTTCTGTCTCCCAATCTTTCTCTCTCTCTTTCTCTACCCCCTCTCTTTCTCCCTCCCCCTCTTTCTCTCTGTCTCCCCATCTCTCTCTCTCTGTCTACCTCCTCTCTTTCTCTCTCCCCCTCTCATTCGTTCTCCCCTCTCTCTCAACCCCCTCTCACTTTCTCTTTCTCCTGTCATCTACATTCACTATCTTCTAAAGCTCAGGAATCGCTATGATATCACACAATTATTCCCCTCTGACCAGTGTTAGCATTTCATTTCCTCTGGCTCTTGGCTATATACCCCATATCTCTGATTGCATTGCCTTCAGAATAAAGTTGTAATCCAGTATCTTGAGTCAGAGTGGTTCTCCGCCTCACAAGAATACACCTTGTATATCTCGAAGTAAGATACAAGGAGTATTTCATCTTCCTCCTTTTCTTAAATCTTCATCACATCTTCTGTCACACTCGATGCAATAATAGTTTGCTCACATTGTATCTGATTACATGTAGGGACTCATATTTTCTAAACAACCTAAACACTTAAATCGAATTAGAGCACGATATACTATAAAGATACTAAATTGCAGTAATACATATAAGTGCTATGAAATCACATATTTTTATCTATTTTCCAACAAAATACTACATTGAAGTTGAGCTGCGAAAGTTCTCAGAATCAATTTCTGATGCTTCAAATAATTTGTTGACCCTAGCTAACTCGTAGTAACTTCAATCTAGACACTCTCTTATGCAAGCTCACACAAAACCCATCTACACCGCTTTAAACCCAATCTGAAGAAGAAAAAAAAAAATCATAAGTTATTGAACTACTATTTACACTAGTGCAAAACCCCATATAAATACATAGGTCTTTGCTTGTTTCTGGTTTTGAGGTGAGTAGCGTGCATGTGCGACTTGTCCCAGCTCTGCATGCGATAGCACGGAAGTAAGGAAAATCCCATGAGCGAAAAACACGAATAAATTCACCAGTGTTTTGAGAATTTAATAGCATTTACAATTGCAAAAAAATTCAGAATTTTAACAGGAGTTAAAACTAATTCAGAGGCAGATATCTCGCTTTGGATTTATCTTTGTGTTAATAGGGGTAAGTTGCCTAGTAACTTCCAACAAAACTCCTGAACGTGAGAAAAAACCAATGGTTCTTGCTAGCAGTGTAAACGCCCCTCAATTGTGTTGATATGATTTCCCTTAAAGTGACCTAAAGCTATAACCAGGCTACCCTGGCTCATATCCAAACCAAAATACTACCAACAAAATAATGTAAGCTGAATCCTGTCCCATGACAAATCAAACTGAAATGTCTGATACTCCGTGGCAAAACAGAAAAATGGGTAAAGGCAACTCGCAGCATGAGCTCTGCTGTTCAGGGTTCCTTGAAATGAAACCAGCAGCCATGTACGATATTGAATCGAGTAAACAATTATCAAGGCAGGTTCTATTCAATCGCAGAGAAACGTTACATGATAATCGAATATATTTCCAACTTCAAGCACAACTTCATACTCGTTCAGAGTACATCATTTATTGAATCTATCAAATGTATTATTCGTCCTTGTTTAGGAATTCGCAATGTTATGCTTGAAGGCGTGAAAAAGGTCTTAGAAAGGCAACAGTCACTCTGTATCTTCTCGGAGTCTCTGAAGAATACACATACTACAGTATTCTTGTGATGCATGCTGTTCAAATTTGCATCTCCTTAGGTAGATATCAAATGCTAACAGTTTTTTTAAAAGCTTTTACATTTTGTGCTCTTAAAAAAAAAACAAGAGAAAAGTTATTTTCTATCATTCATGTGATTACATTAACTCACATCCTTCAAAACAGTGTTCTTAGACTACATTTTCACTGCGGAAGTACTTAGTATTATCTTTCAAATCAACTTGCAGAACAACAATCACTGGATGGATACATTCATTACAACATACATCTGGTAAAACATTTAACTGGAGAGGAAGACACAATCGTGTTAAGTACAAGGACACACGTCTTCTCAGCTTTCATTGAAAACACAAGGTGTCTCTTTTCTTAGAAATACAGGTTCATGTTACATGTTTGCGTTGGTAGAATAATCATGTTGTCAAATTGTGAATGGAAGAACATGAACAATGTACATGAATCACCAACGATGGTGATGTTGGTCTTGTGCACCTGAGCAATGATGGCTGATTATGTACAGCAGCATCTGAAAAATGATGAACAGTAGACTGGATGCTAACGCTTTGTTTCACAGACACATACTTTTTTCATTTTTTGGGTGTGATTCAACTTCACCTTGCAACAATGATCCAACTTCAGCCTCTAAGAAGTGAATTTTCGCCTTAACATCTATTGAAAAAAACAGAGTTTTTTCTTCTATGCTATTGTTCTTAGTTTTTGTTTTATAAACATACATGTACAGTGCTAAATCTAAAAGATTGTTTTTTTCGTTGATATTTGTTTGTTTCTAAACACGCAAAATGAAGC